TTTTCAGAAAGTCATTGGGGGTTAACCCAGTCGCTGAAGCAAACACATTAATATTAATAAAGTTTACAGTTTCACATGGAAAGGGCCAAAAGGAAAAGTTTCATTTAATTTCCTCCCTACTGTGACCGCACATTAACTTTGAAAAACGCAGGAACGCCCTTTTTCCAATTAGCTTATACCTTTTACTAGTCTGTTGATTTACAGCATGGTCCTCAACTAATGTGATAAATTCTCTATTTTGCGTTTCAGATACTTCTTATCCGAAAGTTAATAGATTCCGAGGTACGAAGTGAAAGCGACAATAAAATTTTCGTTTATTTTTAATAGATTCTTTACCAAAAAATGCTTTGGGAGTTTGTAGATCGAGAAATCCAAATTTATAGCTGCAATAGTCTGGACCATTTAAGACATCAACATTTTTTTGGGTTTTAAAATGTCGCTTTTTTGTTGGCAATCTCGTTCTGTGATATTTCCAAAACAAGAAATGTGCACTTGTTCCAAATCCATATTTCTCACCGATACTAGATATCTAAATAAAGTAAATATTCTGCTGAAATTTTCAATAAAACTAAACTTTTATTATCATTTTTTAATTTATTTTAAACTCTGTAAAGTCTTTGAAAATTATTATTTCATAACAATTTTTCTGCAACAATGAAACTTTTCTGGTGCATAAGCACAATCCATATCGTGCAGTTCTTCGTTCGAAAATAAGTTGTCCGGGCATTTTCAAAAAAAGTTGAAATAGTTCTTCTTGTATTCAAAAATGTATTTACAACCGCCGTTCAATGTGAAATATCTTGAAAGCGGTGAGAGACATCGACTTGAACCAAGAATGTAATTTTTGTTCAGGAAATATTGGAGAACAAGATATTGCCAACAAAAAAGCGATATTTGACAACCCAAAAAAATTGTGAAATTTTAAATGGCTCCAGATTATTGCAGCTCAAGCCGTCTAGAAACTACACGCTAAGTTTGGAATTTTGCATTGTCTGATCTTAAAAGCCCCCCAAGTACGAGTTTTTTTGATACTAGTAAAACTGGTTAAGCATCAATTAAAAAAAAACGATAATTTTATTAACATTTCAATACCCTGTACTCGGAAACTATTGACTTTCCGGTAAGACAAGCTTGCCTGAAGCGCGACATTTTTGCGTATACAAGATATCAGTGAAATATGCAAAAAAGGCACGGATCAGAAAATAATTGTATGTACACATTGTATAACTGAATGTATTTCGCAAGTTCAATTGAACGGCTCATACAACAGTAGCACAACTGGAAAAAATCTCTTACTGCAGTTAAGGCTACGACTTTTGCCATTTTTGAGCCCAACAGGAAGTTTATGTGTCGCAGTAAAAATGAAAGCGTGATTTTCTACATATGGTCGCTGTCAAACTGCAACACCTACAAGTTTAGGTGGTCGTTACAGATTATTGTTATATGCATGCAGAGTGAGTGAATGCAATTCGCACTGTGGGCTAATTGGGAAACAATGGAGTATCAGAATAAAGCTTACTTTTTCCGGTCGAAGGTTGTTCTTCAATGCTCGACCAGATAAGTGAAACTTTATAAAATATATTACTTCTGTTAGTATAAGTATATTTATCATAAATGCCATTGAATTACTCGTGCGTATGACATAATTAAAAATAAAACAAGGAGACTATACCAATAACATCGACAGCGACAGGCGTTGTGTTGTCCTTTTATCCTTCGTGAGCATATTTTTTAGTCCTGCTTTTGATATATCGAGCAAAAATCATTGTTCCATATAAAGGTCAGTCTTTGAACAATACATTACAGTCAACAGAAAATTTGCCAGTTCGGTAATATATTCGTATTACATAACGTTGCTGATATACTAATACAAAGCAGGGTGGCGTTAGCAAATAGACCTTGGCTCGATTTGAGGAAGTCAAAATTTTTTTGCGGGAACATTGTATTGATTTAATCACATATCATTTGTGTTGGCTCTGACAGACGCACAAAAGCTTTTGATTTATTTTTAGGCCTGCAAATGAGCCATAAAAAAATCATTGTAGCTGTAAGTGCAGCTCACATCAAAGCGGACGTTGCAATTTATAGGCGATTTTCAAGACGATCATACGAAATTTAACACCTTATGTGCTAATCCAATACCATTGCTATAAAAGCAGTATATGGTTGACTTTGTAATTAGTTGCAAGATAGCATTTTATTTTAAGTGTCGTTGTCTTGGGATAAGTTAATTTGCCATTCGGCGTCTGCATTCGAAATTCGAAACCTTGTATGGAATAAAAATATTGTTACAATGTTTAGGCTTTAATATAACTTAAAACACTAGAGTTCGTTGTGAACTTATTTAGTATAGAATCATCAACCATGTGCCTCATGAGCCATGCAATCACCGCATGAAGTCTGTCCATTAAAACTGAATAGCATTTTTCTGCTTTCAGCCTGCATCTCTTTGTGAATCTCGTAGCCAATCTAAACCTCAAAAGGCATCTCTCATACAAAATAATATACCGACTCAAGAAAAGCGAGCGTAATAATAATGAACGTATCCACAAAGGGTAGTTACCTTGACATTGTATCATCACAAGTCAAGTTCATCTAAAGATGCTGTTTAATTTTGTTGATCAAATATGTCTTAAGATGCACGCCTAAGTGCACGCTTTTAACATAAACGTGTTAGGTAATAATTCGTAATGAAGAACCTTTGATAACGCTTGATTATGTGATATCCAAAGGCTTATAACAGTGATTTTAAAGCAATTAACAATTTATATGCCTTCCTTTCAGTCCCGCATAATTGACCGCTAAAACAAGAAAAAGAAAAACGTAAATGTTTTGTTGGTTCATACCCACATGCTTGGCAGCTAAATGTTTTGCATTCCCCGTGGTTTAATACCCATTGAAAACAAATAAACTACTTTGTAGTATTTCAACCTTTCACTCTACCACTATATGTATGGTTGATTTCCCTGTGTATGGTTGTTGTATTTCATTTTTCAATCGCAAAATTGTTGTCCTTGGAACAACATTGATTTGCATTTATATGAGTGCACTTATGTTGCTGCGTTCAACATATCATGACTGAGTACAATATAGAATTAACTAACGCAAATCCGCAAAAATCCACTCCATTATAAATACCCATTAGGAAGCAAAGGAAAACGCAAAATCTGTCTCCATTGGCCATCAGTTTGCCCCGATTTGCCACCCATTGATTGTAGTTGGGCGTTCGGTTTAACCAATCGCTTACAAATGTCTACTAAACTGTTACATAATAATAAAAAGGGTCTAAGTAAAAATGTACTTTTGCTTGAAGTATACGCCCATCGCACACGCAAATACTGATATTCCGCATAAATTGGGAGGTGTTAAACCTGCAAACTAAAATGGCGTCTTTTGTAATCTTATGGAAAAGCAGCGCGTTTCACTGAAGAAAACCGCTTTTCCACACGAAACCACTAGTAAAAGTCGTTAGTCTAAGAGATTATTTATAAGAGAAGCATGTTGGAAACTTCCAACGCTTGATCAAATGGAAAATTACCAGCAAAATTACTGAATTTCAAAAATGTGCACTCAAAATTCTAAAAAAATAAAGATCAAAAATATAATTTATAAATGTTTTCTTTAAAAAGTTACCCATATTGGAATTTTGCCATTTTTATTTGGCAGGGTGTATTTGTGCAAGCCTCAATCAGGTCGTTAGGTTCCATCAAAAAGCAGATGTATGCCGAATTTACCGACTTTTTCACCCTGATTTAGGTCACATTTTCCGCTTGATTACCACGCAATCTGCCAAAGAATATTTTTATTGTCGGTTTGTATTACTTACTTACTTTTAGTTTAGGGTGGTTTTTAACGACAAACAAACATTTTTTAAACCATTAGAAAATTCTTCTTTATTACGCGACCAGAAATGGTTGGATACCAAAGTTTAAAAGTGTAGTATTTTCGAGTATTTCGAGTTTCGTTAAAACGAAGTTTTCAACAAAAAATGATTTTTTCTGTTAAGGAAATATAAACAAATAGTGATAAAAAATATCACGCTGCAAAAGCAGAAAATTGCCATATTAACTAATTCCACCCTCGATTTACATCAACATTGCATTTGTTTAATTTGCATATTTCCTTGCAACTGGTTTGTTATGGACTTTGTATTGACATTTTCAGCTTACATAGAGCAAGTATGTATATTAAAATATTTAAATGTGTTCATTACTATTTTCGTGCTTATCTCGCATTCTTTCTCTTTTTGTTCATGTTAGTAATAATTATGCCATTTAGAGGTGTTTTAGTCGGTTTAATTGTCGTGTCGCATATTAAATCGCGTACATGAAATGCATGAAAAAAAATCGAACCATAAATTATTTTAATTATAAACCTTACAAAACTGGCTAATTATAGAATAATTTAACCATTATTGAAAATCATTTGCATTTGTGTACAAGGTTGAATGCATTAAGTGGCTGAATTTTGACAGCAACTTGACCAAGACTTGTTTTTACAAAAGGAAACATTTGCATCTGCATAACAAATATGTTTGAAGTTGGAAATATCATGGTCGGATTGTTGTACATAATTTTCTTGATGTCATAACTAATTATTAATGAAAATTCAATAAAATGAATTGACGAGGGCATTTAAATAATTTGCATATCGAATATAAATCAGATAAAATTGATAATTTTGGTGATGAGGCCAGCCACGTTGAATATGTTCCGAATCCAGCTCGGAGCTCGGATTAATGAGTGATGAAAGCATTATTAGTCATGATAAATTACTATGAACACTTTGTGCATATTATTAAAGGCTTTGCATACAATTTACACGTCATGCAATATTTTCCTAGAGGCAGGTAAGAATTGTTCATCCAGAGGATGTCATTTGCGCGCCCTGATGAGTAACGTCTATTGTTTAAATGAAATATTCAACTTGTCGCTTCTCATGCAACAAAATAATTCGCACAGAACTTTGTTAGATGACTAAAAACTGTATTTTCATTTCAGAATGGGAAGTACTTGATGGAAAAAGAGTCGGAAGGCATTGGAGTGTGTCCGTACGACCCAGAGCACAACAGTACGGCCATCTACAGCAACGGGCATTTGTTTTCAGCGACAGTTGCTGACTTTTCTGGAGGCGATCCACTTATTTATAGGGAACCCCTTCGAACCGAATTATCTGATCTCAAGCATCTGAACGGTAATTTATGATTTTGCCTTGTTCTCGCTTTAGTTTAACCCTAAGCTAATGGGCGTGAGTCAACTCAGCCTAGAATTACAAATCAAATGTTTAGGAACTGTTCATGCACAACGCGACTCTTCCGCTTCAATGTTTACTTAACTACGTATCGAACAATGCTTAAGACGCTTTAATCTGTTTAAACAGAACTGATGTTGCGAAAATCCAACTTTTGAGAAAAAACCTTCACAAAACAATCGTATTTATTTCGCCTGGTATTTTGGCGACCAAATCCATTATCCACATAGCGTGGATGGAGCCAATATTTCTTCATAAAAAAACAATAGTAAAATTACAGCTTCATCTTCATATATCGATTCAACTAACCGAACCATGTCAAATTGGCCGCTCTCCGTTTTAACCCGGCTGAAAAACCTCTTTGAACTGAAGAATACCGCAAAAGAGTGGCTTGTAAAAGCATATAATGGGTCATTCTTCTGGGTAGTGCTGCGTTAAACTTAGAGGTCTGGTACCATGTTGTTTTTTCATTTTAAATATATCAAACAGGCGGATTCAGTCATTTTCGCGCGGCCAACTTAACTGTTATTGCTGCTCTTTCACCGGAAACAACGCTTTAAGTTAATTTTGAACCCTTTGGTCATTTCACTAATGCATTAATGCAGCCGAGACCTAACTGATCAGAGTTCAGCTTGATCGTATATAAGAGTCAGTGTACAGGGTGATTCAAAGAAGTTACTATTTCCGAGGCCATCAAACACTTTTAACGAAACTGGACCATTTACTATTCCGCAAGAGACAGTGATTGCCGTGGGCGTAAAACACAATGTCAGGCTATCATTATAAATATTATATATTATTGAGCTCTGGTTTTATCGATTTTGATTATTTTATCACACCTGTACGCCTAGTCAAAGAGTGATTATATTATAGTCCTCACGAAATTTGTTACATATGGATGAGGAAAAAACTGATTAAGTTGTTTTTTTTTTTATAAATCAGTGTCCACATTATGCGGTTATGATAAGCATACATAATTAATAATCTCTCAAATTTCATTATTAATGATACCAGCAGGCCTGTGAGTGTGGTATAGCCGTAACCGGTCAATGAAAAGATTTACTATATGTAAACTGTATGGTTTGTAATAGTGGGCAGTCGCGTCTTAAAAAATAATGTTATTATGTAACGCACAAAATCTGAACCCGCCGACAGAGGATTTTACGCTTGCAATCATTTATTCACTATCTAGCAGTAAAAATTTAATAAAGGCGATGTTTTGTATTAGTTAATGAGGATTCCTCCCTCTTTGTGTTGCCAGGTAAAACCATTTGATTTGAACAATTATTTGCCTCGAAACGAAAAAAATGCTAGCCGCCGGTCCTTTTTTTAATGATAATTACAGTGAAAAATTGCGCCGTATTTTCCATAAAACATATGCAAAAGTGACCGCTGTAATCAAATTGAATTATCCTGGTAACGTGACAAAGTCTATCACGATTTATCGTTTTTATATATTATTATAAACACTTACACATGATTATTTAAAGTACAAATGTCCAATAACCTTCGTCATCAAACATCTGGACAATAGGATGTTACCTTGAATTAGACTTCTCTTGTTAGATGAATAAGGTTGAATTTAAATAATGGTTGCCTTTGGGAAGGATTATTAATTCGAAACTAGCGAACAGGTGGACCCAATTAAAATCTGTGTAACAAAACAAATGTACATATAGCCTTTAAGTACTGGTTCACTAGCTTTGCATGTGTATCATAATCCATTAGCGAATGTGCGCGCAATTTGGGAGTTTAACTCTTCAATTAGACGGTCTAATGCAAATATAATCGCTTCCTGGTTTTCAGTTGAAAAATTTCATTACGATAATTATTTTTTGACATGTGGGATGCCCCCTAACGATATAATAGGCAAATGGGAGGAATAAATTAGTTTACATGATATTTGTCGCCATCATTTTGTAGGTCAATAATTGTATTAAAGCTGATTTAGATAGTGCTTTAATATTCCCCTACCCGCTAAAAATGTCTGTGGGAATTGAAACATTTGCTTAGTGAAAACAACCTTTTCAACAGCATTTTCTTTTCAGGACCAAATTTCGTCAGTTCAGTCACACATGGGGAATATATATACTTTTTCTTCCGCGAGACTGCGGTCGAGTTCATGAACTGTGGAAAGGTAAGATCAGGTCTAGTTCACTTTATTTGGTTCATTCGATAGAGTCAGTTTCTATTGGTGTATAAAATTCTTTTTGGAATAAAGTGGATAAATAAAAGTGGATGCAAAAGTAATCATCTTCATAGGGTTGAAGTGTCCTTTTAGACAAATATTGAGAATGTGGGAAGTTCAAAACTTCGAATCAAGATTTCTGATGAATTTCTCGGTATATTGTGTCTTTTATTTATTTGCTTTATTGAGAAAAATCGTATTTCCTGGCGATTTGTGGAAATAGAACCGAAATTGATGAAATTCTTTTCTTCAGATAATATATTCTCGCGTAGCGCGAGTTTGCAAACACGACAAGGGCGGCCCTCATCAATCAAGGAATAAGTGGACAACGTTTAGCAAAGCAAGACTGAATTGTTCCGTACCTGGAGAATACCCATTTTATTTTGATGAAATACGTAAGTGGTCACCATAAATTTCCTTATAAATAGGGCTGATTAACGTTCCATGTTTGATAAATCAAGCTGCTTACTTCTAGTACAATGAGGAGTTTCTGTTTAACCCAAGATGTAAACGAAAAAGTTGATGAAGCTGTTAAAAATTAATGATCAAGCTATTAAATTGAAATTCTCTTCAACACACCATTTTAGCTTCTTGCGTTTATTATCAACGGTATCTTTATGGTTTCCAGAGTCAACAAGCTCGATAATAGAGGGCAAATACGGCGAAACAAGTACCAAAATAATATATGGCGCTTTAACAACACCTGATAATGCAATTGGTGGATCAGCCATATGTGTATTCCAGATGGAAGATATAGAAGAAGCGTTTCGAGGGCCTTTCAAACATCAAGAAAGTATAAACGCTAATTGGCTTCCCGTACCGGATAATAAAGTACCAGAACCTCGGCCAGGCGAATGCGTTAGAGACAGCAGGATTCTACCGGACGCCAATGTAAACTTTATTAAAACGCACCCGCTTATGGAGAAAGCGGTACCTTCGTACCATGGCAGACCCATTTTGATTAGAGTCAGTTTGAACTACAGGTTTACGGCTATCGCTGTAGATCCACAAGTTAGAACGGTCAATGACGAGACGTTCGACATCATTTACATAGGAACAGGTGAGTGTACAGCTCCATTGTCCTTGTTATCAGTACTTCGTTTCAATCTTCGACCAACTTGGTCAGTTGCGTCCTTTCCCGGACAATTTTTATTACTGCTTTCATGTTTTTCCAATTAAAAAATCTGATTGATTTCTTTAATGAAGCGCTAACTGTAGTTATTCGAAAAGTGTGCAGGTTTCACAACTGATATAATAACTATGATTTGTTTGCGGGTTCTTGCTTGATCTTCAACCACCGCCTCACATCGTTCAGACAAATTATAGTTTAATAGCCTAGACCGTTTTTATGAAGATTTAAAACCGCTGCATCACGAATGCCCAGCTCTGTGTTGGATAAGAGGCAATTTTATTTTTATGTAAGCGTTCATGATAAAACTGAAAACACCCCCAACAGTATTGGAACTGAAGAGTTAGGTTGTCGTAGAAACGAAGTTCTTCCCGAAGTTTTGCAAGCACGACTGGCTTGCATCTCTAGAGGTGGTTACTGCGTTAAGCAAGAGTTTTTCGGTCTTCGTATCTTCAGATGCGCTTTGTTCAGCGCAGCGAGCAGCTCTGAGAATGCAAGCCACTTGTGCTTGCGAAACGTTCGGAAGAAATTAGAATCCACTGCGGTCTAAAAGCCCGAAAAATTCACCAGTTCCAAGCGATGACTGCAAATGCCCAACTTGACGGTTCATGTGGAGCAAACTGAGTGGACTTGTTGAAAAAATGGTTTAACTTATTAATGTATTCTGTAACACCGCTGTTGTAATAATGCAAAATAAACATATTACGGTTAATGTAGGTGGAAGCAAATGTCAAATTGGAGTGGCCAAATATTAAAATAAACGACAGTGTTAAAATACAAATTACATGCAACAGTTGACCCAATTAAAATCGAAAAAGTTTCAACATGAAAATTAAGCGACGTTGGGTGAATAAATCGGTGTTTGACAAATAGCGGTTATAATGCAGAAAACCCGTGGTTTATATGCAAACTAGACGATTCTATTCTAATGGGAATTGTTTCAAGCACCCATTCAAATAATCAAGATAAAACTTTGCGAAGTTCAAACGCACATTTGCTTTGTGACTTGATGCCAGAGCCTTTTTTTATTCCAATTTAATGTCTGAGCAATGCAGTAGTCGTACGTTTTCAAATCTGTTTTAAATCTGATGAGATGAATGGCTTTTGCGCAATATGCAAGCACCAACGGTAAATAGATCTTATCGACCACTGTGTTGGTTTATTAACGTGAAGTCAAGTTTTATTACATAATTTGTATAAGAAAAAATCTTGTTTGTGAGACAAAGAACTTTAATGGGTCTAAAATTTTCAAGGTTGCGCGTGTTGTACTGTATTGGGAGGATAGTTGGTTTCTCGTACCTGTCTTGTGACTTGTTCATTGTTCGCGGAAGAGACGATGACAAAAAAATTGAACGACCTCTTGTATACTATTCTTAAAAATCAATCAGCTCGGTCTCTGCCACATAAATCACCTTGATAATCCTATTAGATATTTTTTCACCAGATGAGTCAGATGGAACTTGTGCAAATTATGACCATTGTTGTTTCGCCTTTTTCAAACTGGTTCATAGAAATGGAAAATCTTTTGCAATTCATAATGTCCACGTAAACACTGATTTTTCAATTTTATCTTCAGATGACGGAAAGGTGCTGAAGGTGGTGAACATCGCAACCGATCAGTTCTCGAAGGCTTTCGTGATATCTGATAATGAAGTATTTCCTAAGGGCACAGCAGTGAGACAACTTACTTTAGCACCCGGATATGGAAAAGTGATTGCTGTTAGCAAAGGCGAAACGAAGCTAGTCACTTTGAACCATTGCAAGTTTATCGCTTCCTGCAGGTAAATAAACTAAGATTAAATTAATCGAAAGAATTCAATAAAGGAAGTAATTTGAAAATTCTGTTCTTAGAACCTGATCAAAAACCTATGGCTGTTTATACCGTCGCCCCGTAAAATGTTGAGTCAAAGTGGTTCTTTGGTCCAATTCACAGGAAAACACCTGAACATACCGCAACCATCACTTTTTCGAAAAAAATATCAGAGAAGCGAGCTTCGTCCTTTTTACTGCCATGTCAAAAACAACATATGAGTATCACCTCAGTCACGAAAATATCAAACTTTTGGAAGCCCTGGAATGTCAGAACATCCTATAATTCAGGATTCAACAGTCAGAACATTCAACAAATATTTTTGCTAAATTGTTTTAATGGCAAACGCGCCAATGTCCAAATAAATTTTTGAAAAATCACGCAATATAAGGTCTTCCTATACCTTCTCGATAGCCCACATCACGAGCTATTAATCACTAATCGGGTTTTATCACAAATTCCCAACCTCCAAGAAGATAGAAGCAAAAATTAGAACATTTTGGAGGCTTACGACGGTTAACCTGTAGTTTTTTGATTGGGCAGAAAATACGGCAAATATAATTTCTGACAAAAATGTGAACGTTTATATCACGAAAACCATCGGTGTAATCATTCTAGCTCTCAATACAGTCGCGCTCTCAGCGTAGAGGAAAAAGAGTTAGTTTTATTCGAATTAATGCCCAAATTCTTACTTCCTAATTTTTTATATAATTTTAATTACTCGCTGCTACTTACGCGCATATAATATATGTGTATTTTTTTGTCGCAGGAAAACAAATTATATAAACTTACATTTTTAACTATAGAGGGTGATCCGGTTAAAATAGCGAATAATTGAAAAATACATCGTAATCCTTAAAATTCTATATAAACTTCTTCTTTATCGTTAAACGCCTCCTTTTAAAAATACGATGTGTTAGAAAAATATGTTTTCGCCCCAAAACCCGTAGCTGATGAAAGGATTTTTCTGCGATAAATACCTGACACTTTTTATCAATAATTTTGCAGGATGCATATTTGAGACCTGAGCGCACGTTTTATATCACCATGTAACAAAAGGATCATATAAATTATACTATAAATCTGTCTGTTTCTCGATAACTTATGTATCCTATATTGAGATATTTGCCACTCATTAGAAATTCCTTTACCCAATTACGCATTCTAATTAAGGATGTTTATGAGAGTATATGTAAATCTTGCTTTTATGTACATACAAATAGAAGCTAACCATGACTGCAAAGTTTATGCAGTTAGATGATCGCGATCATTAAATTTACTAATATAAACGAATAACGCTGAAATATGTTTTACGACCCTTTCAAAGTAAAGCTAATGCCTTAATTGGAATCTCAACCCACAGTATTCAATGCAATGCAAATCGCAATGGTATCAAAATGAGTCCATTAATAAAAATAAGACACTTTTGCCACAAATGAGTTGTTAATTCCGACTCAACCTCTTATGACCAGTCATTTATTATCTCCCGTCTTGACGATTTTCCTGTTTGCATATTTCATGAATAAGCGATTTTCTTCTAAAGTAACGTCGAGTTTAGCTTTGTGTTAGTTGCAATTGAAAACAATTCAGAAATTATTCCTGACACCATGTACTTAAAAAAATACTCTGTTCTTTTCAGTGAATGCATTGAACTTCGAGACCCTCATTGCGCGTGGGACCAAGTGAAGAACTTGTGCGTGAGCGTTGACCAAGCGACATCCTTCAGATATCTGGTGCAGGACATCATCAAGAGCAATGGGTCCAAGTGTAAAGTTTCCCTGAATGAAAAGGCACCACGCAAAGACGTGGATGACACGATAACTAGTAACTCTATTGATGAAGAGCCGAGCTCAAGTGCTAAAGAACTGTCTCTTCAAATCGACAGTCGACCCGAACCGGATTGTGAAAACGACATTAACTCTGAGTTTCGAACAGGATGTTCACAAATCAAAAAAAGTGAATTCACGTCAGGCACGTTGTGGTGGGGCATTGTGGTGGCTGCTATGGTTGGACTCTTCGTGGGTTTTGTGGGGGGATACTGCGTGTCAAAAAAAATTTACATGCAGTATCCTAGCACACCCTTTATTGAGCAACATAATCAATTAGATAGGTAAGCATTTTCGAGAAACTTGCTCCAACTAAACTTGCATCCAAGAAAAAGATAAGAATGATTTTAAACCATCAAATGAAACTAACTATTATCAAAAGAGTTCGACTTTCGAGGGCCATTATTTGAAACTACTGGGTTTTTAGGCCGTCCTTCAATAGAATTTCTTCCTGACTTCGCACGCACGAGTGGCTTGCGTCTTCAGAGGTGGTTTGCTTGAATGCTTACACTGATCGGAACAGTGCGCAGAACACTCGTGCTTGCGAAACGTCAGGAAGAATTTCTATTGTACGACGCCCTAAAAACCCCCTAGAAACTAAATATTGTTCACCGGCTTCTGATTAATCTGCGAAAAACATTTCTTGATTCAAAGGAGGAGACGGTTCAAATAAAATGAGACTCGCTGTCGGTTGTTGTATTTTCAGTTTTTTTAACTATGGTTTCTTTTTTTCAGACTTAATGGAAATCACAGTATGCTAGCCAGGCCTAAGACGGTAAACTTAGACCTGAACGTAACTTCAGATACTCTTCCGCCAAAGAAAGATAATCTAGGATCTCTGAAAAACTTAAATATCGCCAATGAAGGGACACTGCAGAAGATCAAGAAAACGTACATATGAGAATCGATATTTTTTAATTGTGTGCTCGTTTAGATTTTTGTTACATATATTTTTGTACCTGCTACTTTACGTTAAATTATAGACTGCCTTTGATGCTATTTTCTATTTTAGAGAATACGTAATAAGAATCTCAAGTAGTTTGATAGGGAGCAACTGCAACGCGCAGTAATATTTTAATGCCCAATTTTTATGCAAATTTGATTTGAAAATCACTGTTGAATCAGAAGTTGTATTATCCCGAACAAAAAACTTTTATTATATACTCACACTCTTCGTTATATTTGGGAAGCTCAATGTGTTATACATGTAATTATTTGTCTACTAAATACTTTATTTTAATTTAGATATACCAGGTAACAATGCAGTAAGTTAAAAACACTGTTTTATTCAACAACAACGTTTAGCTGTATTCAACCTTGTGTGAGGCACAGCTTACGTAATGCTGCAGCATATTTGAATGAAGCTATGTTAATAAAGAGATAGCAATGTGGTAGAGATGATGCTGAAATACTGAAAGTAAAAATAAAAACGTATTGTCACTTTTCTATTTCAGCACCATTTCTCCCAGTTTAAAAATGCAGAAATTGAAACGTCCTTAAGCAATGACTACATGGACAGATCCAAACTTACACTATTTTTATAGTTTAAAGATACGTATGTACAACAGAAAAGTCTTTCTGCATGTGCAGACTGACTTCGGTTAATATTAAGCTCAATACGTTTCTCCGCCTGGTTTAATATTGGGGAAATTAAGATACTTTTAAGCTGAAATGTAAATAAGCAGTTGCACCAAGTGTAGGTTTTCGTTCACGTTGTTTAACAATATCAGCGTAATACGGACACTTGACGAAAGTCTGTAACGGGGATATGTATTGAACTTAATAATTGTTTTGATATAAATTGTTTCGCGAAAGTATTAGTTGAATATAAAAATGAGATATTACAATGTGTACAATGTTTAAGTTATCACGATTAATTGAATTGGGCAGATTCGCTTTTATCGTTCATTTTTATTATTAGGCGGCCAAGTATTGTGTAAGTGAAAAAATGAGCCCGTTTAATTAAGATTTATTTTTGTATTTTAAAATTAGACCTTCTTTGTAAATAGTTGGATAAGTTAATTTTACTTTAGTTTCAGGTACAGGTTTGGCTGTGATCTACAAAAATCTACATTGCCTTTATTGAATTAAATATTAAGCTGTAAGCGAAAAAGTAATTGAATAATTTTAACAGTCTTTTTTTTAAATAATGAGCACAATAAACTTATTTAATTATTTTTTCATTTAAGGTCGTTTTAAGGTTAACGCCGTAGTTGAGTTACATTCCAATAGCTATTTTATTGTGTAAGTAAATAAAGTTTTAAAAATGATTGAATTTTTTAATCCATTGAAAACCCGCACGTTTAAGGTGTCCTCGATGCATAGCTTTTCACTTCAAGCTTCGCAGGATGCATCTATAGGGTCTTTGCCTATAATAAGGCCTAAGGTAACAAACAAAAGTCGAAGCCGCTGAAAACGCTTAAAATCATCATTTATTTGGGCTGTTGAGCGCAGAACTATGATTTAACTGGAGTTTAATTCAAAGATTTCAACTTGAAGCTCCGAAAGATGCATATATAGGGTGTTTTCTCAAACGAGTCTATAATAAGAAAGTATCGCGCATAAAGATCAAACCCGAACGAAGAAAAACTAGAATTTCAATTATTTTGGACTTGAAACGCAGAAATCGGTTTTTCGTAGCGTTGGTTCTAACAAGTTCCACAAGATGCAAGTCAAAAGCGGTTTAAATTCGCATTCAATTTTCCTTTTTTTGGATCGAAAGAGTGTAACGTGCTTTTCAATGAGCTCAATCATGAAAATCGTACATCATTTGAGGAAAGAATGCAACGATTCACCAAACACTCGGGTCCGCATCTGATGCCGTTTAGCCACTTTTTCGATCCAAGTTTATAATTTCACTAAAAAATTTACACTTCAATATTTTACAAAACACATTAGGACTGGTTTATCAATTTATATACAGTGTGAGTCATTAGTGAGAGCGCGAAATAGAACAGCAATCGAATCGAATAATGTAACTTGAGCTAACGATAAAAGAAAACTGATCTCTTTTACAAGGCAATTTTAATGGAAAACGCTCCATTTTTACCACTGCAGGTTGACATATAATACGATGCCAAGTCGATAAAAAATCGCAAACGCACAAAATTAACGAACTGATCAAAACACACTGAGAAGGCAGAATTCAATTAGAAAATGTATGTAAGGTAGTACCTACCTACAGATCTGAGGGATTAATTAGCTAAAATGTTTTGCTCCAAAAAACAAAAAGAGTCAAATAAATTGAATGTTTTCCAAGACTTAATAAGGGGCCTCACTAATCTTTATAGCTTAAAAGTGCACAGACTAAACATAGTGGTGTAATTCTGAGTTTATAACCAAGAATAAGAAATAACGTATTGCAGAAATAATCCATATGAAACATCTGACGTTGAAAATATTGCTGCTCATGAAAGCACAACTTTTAAGAGTTAAAAATATGCAAAAGTTAGTATAATGGACTCGCCAGAAGAGGAGCTTCTTCTCGATGTCACCTGAAAAAATTAGAAAACTGTTAGCAAAATGGTTCCAATGCAAACTGAGAAAGAAATGTTGTTGAAATCAAGCTTTTAGAATATATTAAAATTACAGTTATACAGAAACTTTTCAAAACCCGGAAACTTGTTCGCGCCTTTCACCCGTTATTGGGCTGAATCAGTGTATAAAGCTTTCGAGCGTAATTCTTCTGAGGATGCATATAGTTGTGCTAGTGAAACGTCGGGAAGACATTTTTTCCCATGACGCCTTGAAAAAACTCTTCAATTTCAATCATTGATTATGAAAATGAACAAAATAAAACTGACATCGGCTCAAGGATGGACACAGTGTTATCCTCAATCTCCGACAATAAATCAGCGATAAGATAAAGTAAATTGGCGCAGGTATATAGAAAATGTATATTAAATTAGTCTTATGTTAGTTAGCGAGCCGACACAATATTGATTCTTCCAAATTCTAAGCTGATTGTGCTGAAATTTCGAGATACACCTGGTAGAAAAATATTTATTATTTGAATAGGTACTGTATAGTGGTACCCATACAGCAGGTAAGCGTTCCCATTTTTCCACGCATGTGCCTAGGCATATAATCGACTAGGCAGTACCTGTCAGGTGAAATAAGCAGACAATCTTTTCAATACTAACTAGTAGTTTCAGTGCTGGGTGTTCGATTTGGACCTTTAAAATTCGGATAAGAATTCGGTATTGTCGGAAATCGGTGTTCATTACTATGGAATTTTAAAATATTCATCAGGTAAGTCGATTTTGGGAATAGTATTGCCTTGGACAATCCAGGTACTGTTATTCAGTGCCGCTGTTTGGTTCTCTTCGCCACGGTGGCTTTGATTTAAATAATATAAGTGAACAGTCAATTTTCATTCGTTTGCTTGGTACCAATTAGGAGTGAAATTATTGTTATTTTTAAAGGAATTCATTGTTTACTACGATTTCGGTACCATCACCGCACGCCCACTTATTGCAGTGGTACGCCTTGAAATTTGCTATCCTCGTAATATATGCAAGAAAATCTGAAATATTCGAGATACCTCGCTTGGCGATGAATTCTTACCTCATTCTTCACATTCCATTCTTGTATGTTGGAAGGTGTGGCGCTCTGTGTATTCGTAGTTTTATATGGTTAACGCATTTTTAATTAGGCATTTAATTTAACTTTCGCTTTCGAAAATATATTAAAAAAAAACAAGCCTCATCAATAAGACATTAAAATAATTTCGTTATAAGTACCTAAATAGCTGAAGAATCTATTAGTCTGGAAAGTGTCAACAGCAAACACCTTGCTCTCTACTAGTGACCATAAGTTTCTACTATCCCTCTCTAAGCAAGGTATAAATTGTTTTTAATATAACGAATGAGTGTCAACGAATCACAAAAGGAAGATAAAGATTACACGGAAAACATGAGAAGTTCAATTATATTTTTAATCTAATCTCGAATATCCTTTCTGGATTATTACTCTGGCACATACATGTATTGATATTATTATTCCGGAGCGTTGTCATACCTTTATTTAAAAATTAAACAATAGCTAGAAATAGATAAATCAATAAAAATAGTAGGTTCATTATAAAACGTTCCAACAGCAGAGCGTGAGATAGTGGAGTAGTGAACTTTATATATTGCGTATTTTGATACACTTTTGTATTAATTGGACTTGTTTTTCATGCTGTAAGTATGTAATTATTGTTGCTAGATCAGAAATGTACACTACGAATTTGACTAAGTGACTCGGTTTAATATGCCGTCTTGAAGCTAACAAAACGTAATAATAGAACCAGATTCCAATGCAAAAATTTATCTGGCAGTGCATATGTTTCCAATAGAGATTTTTCCAGTTCAAACTTATGTTGCAACAATTATTTAACCGTTACCTCACTTCAATTATTTATTTATTCACATTATTTAATTGTGTCTGAATTAAATCAGAGTAACGCATTAAAAGTAAACCCTACTTTATAGTAACCACTATAGGCGCAATAACTGTTACTGGACTAGATAATTGAGAGACAAAAATATAATTGGACTGTTTGAATCCAATAAGTCTAATTAAAATTTTATACGTGCTAAAAAAGAAGAAAAATTGATTGGAATTTTCATAAAAACAGGTGATGAAATGAAAAAACTCACGAAAATCAGAAGAGATATGATGTTCATATAATCATATGCCCTCAAACCGTTCGGTTTCCAGATACAGGGCGTTAAAATTAGAAAAGAAATTCCATTGAATTCTTTGAAATACTATTTGCCTTAACCGTGGACCGTGAACAATTACACAATAATTAACAGTTTTCTTGATTTTATTTGTGATAAGCAACGAACCCCTAATATTCGTCTAATATTTACTTTCAATCCATTAATTGACTATTTTGCAAAAAACTTGCCCAAATACAAAAAATGCATGCAAAAGTTTCTAAATTAAACTAGGAATTTAAATAGAGTGTAGTCGTACGCAAAAAGTTATGGGTTCTAACATGTACATTCTTCCAACTGTTTGACAAATTGAACGATGTATAGAATTTCTCATTTCATTTGTTGTTGATATAAAATTTTCGACTTAATTTTGTGACTTTGAACCGCTTTAATTAATGTTTCCGCATTTAAAAAGTGTACACACTGTATATAAAAGTCAGCAAACGCACAAACTAACTGTGTTTTAATATACAGTCATCGCTAAATTTAACTTGTAAAGCAACCTAGACGTAAAATCTTCATTTAATGTTATCTTTTATAATTTATGTTAATACAACTGCAATAAATGGATATTGAAACATCATGTTAATTCACCTTATCTGCAAGTTTAGTTGCATGAAATTACAAATGTTTGTTTCAAGTCAGTGTTTAAGGTTGAGTTTTTTCAAATTAGTTGCAACTAAAAGTTACCGGTTCCGAGATTTCACGCCTTTAATAGTAAGGACGCAAGGTGTTGATTTACAAAACTGTAAAGAAAAATGCTTTGTCTGATGTCTTGCAATGGGCTGAAAATTTTCAAAGCTCCAAGTCTTAAATTGGGGAACTTTCGTTGATAGCACTCGAAATTGTGGCAAAAATTTTCTAATTAATTCACTAGCTTCGCTAATAAACATACATCATGTCAGCCGATTTAAAACGATGAGAACTGTTAAATAATACATGCGATCTGATGGGACTTTCATGACTGAATAACTATTAGAAACTTTTTAATAAAATTCAATTAAGTTGCTATGGCCATAAAGCTACTCAACTGACGAAAATAAAAAAATCCCTTTCTTACAGCTCATGTTGATACGCTGCAAATAAGCGTCATATATCAACCATGTTGTTATCACCAAGTTAATAATGTATTTCATTTTTCCTTGAAGAGAAACGATTGCAAAAATGGCTTACCGAAACGGATACACCCGAGACGATAGAGATCTGGATAGGGACCGCGATAGAGACATGAGGGATGATGGCAAGGCCCCAATTCACCTTATTGAGCACTTAGCAACATTCAGCGTGTCTCCAGACATGGGTATTCTTTATCCCATTGATGGAATGCGGAGATTAAGACAAATGGAACAAACGAATGGAATTTGGTCGCAAAAGATGCAGCTGTGCTTAGATCATCCGTGGGTTCTTATATTGGACGAATCAGGGGTGAGTATTTCTTGGTTTCAAAAGAGCCAAACATTGTCATTTATTTAACCGTGTGGGAGAATAGCAGGTAACGAAACGTTTGATACCTGTTCTAATCTAGTACTAAACTTATTTAAGTCCTAGGGATTTTGACAAATACATACCACAACCCATTTGGCTTTATAAAATCCTTGATTCAAAATTTCTATAAAATATTTGGAGATAAGAGTGGTTCAACCAGATTAACTGCAAACGAGTTAATACACGTAATAATAACTTTATTGTTCATTAGCGGAGCAATAAATACTTCAACGCGGTAATCACGTCTGGCATTCTGGTTTTCCAGATTCAAAATATCCGTAATGTATAACTAATACGACACGTTTTTCAACACATATTCCGGGGCACGCACTTCACGACAAATGAGATCAGCAAATCGACCGGCCGCCGAATCTTAAGAAAAAAAATCGGGTTGTTTATCGTTCAAGTAAACAAACATCTACAGTTTTTAAATGAAAACATAATCTCGAAATGTTAACTTGTCAGGTACAAGTATTTACAGCCTACTATACAACATGCCAATCACAAAAATACGTATCGAACATTACTGGAGTATTGCTCATTTTTATTTAGGGTGAAGCACGCACCAAGTTTCTTGCGTGTTTTGTCATTAAACAATTCTGCATTTTTTCAGTAATAATACATTGACGGTCTTGAACAATTCGGATCTGCGTATAAGGCCCGGACGGATTTTGCACGAACACCCTGTATAATTGAAAAAATTAAAGATTTGCGAAACGAATGTTGGTGTGAATCCATGATAGATACTCATGGTTATGGACTTTATAATTCGATGCGTGGATGATTAATTAAACATAAGCAACCCATGGGGACTTTTATGATGACTAACTTATAAAAAATCCGATTTCTGCACTTCGTACATTTGCACAGCTGGGGCGGATTTCTAATTAGCAAATATGAGTTCACTGTGTTCCATACTAAGCCGGACACTAACATTTTAAATGCCTGAATTATTCCGGATTTTCTGTCCCATAGTAAGCCGGTCACTAGTTTATTATTTATTTGTCGGAATGTTGCTGATAATAGTAGATATCCGAAACGATAGAATGTGGACAGGACCGGGCTTGTGGCAAGTTGTGAGTAATGGTGCATTTAAGCTTGCGGTATTTTTTCAAAGGAGAAAGGGGCTGAAGGAAGAAAAGGAAAAAGAAAAGGCTGGAAGAAAAAAACAAGAAAAACGATTTCATTGTTTAAAGCGATTTAAAATTACGGTTTTCTAGATACCGATAGTGGATTTTGCAGAAAATGATTTAAAATCTGAAAAATTAATTTTAGAAACTGAAAAACATTTAGATTCTTTTCGTAAAAATAAGAGTGGGGAGTAAGGAAAATCTAAATGTGATGGAAGAAAGTGCATGTTTCAATGCAAACAAAACTTGCCACAAAATGAATAAATGCACATCACTTGGGTTAAAATTGATCATATTTCACAGTAAATTTTAGTCACAAAAGATGCAATTGGAATGGCATTTTTGACCGAAATGCAGAACTTTGAAAAGGGGAAAATATTGAGTGCAGGTACGATAGATAACATTCAGGGCTCAATAATTGACTTGTCCAGATTTTCTTCCTGAAGGCCCCCAGAAGACCGATCCTTAAAATTTTCCACTTTCAAATCATTATAAAACACCGTGAATTTTTGCATTTTGTGCTGCTGATATTTAATCCTTTTATCCCATTATCACACTCAAAAGGCTTATGGTATTGAGAAGACCAACCCAAAAGTTTATACGCTTTTATCTTGGAGTTAAATAAAATTTGAGACGCGTTCCGAAATTTAAATATATATAATAATAATAAATAAAATCCTAATTAGTTTAATTTATTAGAAGTTATTCTGCAGTTGCAGGCTTGATTAATCAATAAAAATTCCGATCATTCGCACCGACTATAGGAAGTTAACAGTAATTTGCGAATCGCTTTATGCAAGAGAGTTGACAACGGAAATATTTTATTGTTTCAAAATAAATTACGTGTTCAATTGATACAGAATATTAATCATTATCTCTTAAAGCTACCGCTAGACTGATTACTTATTAATGAACTCAATCAACTAACAACGGTTGAAGCAGAGGAAAATATCAGGATTTCAATAAATCTTCTTTAAATTCAATGCTTACACTGTGGACCAACTTACAAAATGCTAATCAGCCATTGTTGTTTTTTACAGACTATTGTAGAAAAATTTCCCGTTAACGCAATTCAAGACCCAACAGCATTCATGAGTACAGAACCAATGGATATGTACAACAACATTTTAGTATTTATCATTGCCGATTCAAGTCAGTCTTCACATTCACCCGAAATGCAAATGCACATATTTCAGGTAAGGAGAATTTTTCACCTTGCACGGTGCGTGGGAACTGTATTTTTCGTTTTGTAACTGAATTTGTTTAACTAAGTTTTTTCACATTATATCAGCACATTAACATAATTATAATGTGTGGTCGAAAGTACTTTCAATAGTGGTTTTTATGGTATGGAAACAGTCTTAGTGGTGACATTTAATTTATAAATTCATACACTTCTAAAATACTTCTGTAATTTAAATAACCTGAAATGCAACGGCAAAAACTTTCAACGTTTTGAAATATTTTACAGTAATTAATAAGTTAATTAAACACACAACAATTAAGTAAGTAGGCATTATGGAAAACGACTTTCAAACCTGTCTTCTACAAATTAATTGCCACCATATGGCCCCAAAAATTCAATGAAAATTGTATCATTGACATCAATACTGCTTGTTTTGTTTTAAATTTGCATTTAGCAAATATTGAAAGTTTTTATTTACGTATTCATTGGTTATTGAATTTATTTCACAAAGTACTTCACTTTAACAAACGCCTCACAAACTGATAACATTATCTGTATAGATAATATTGTAATATACGGAATACTGCGTCATGTAGGTAACAAAAATATCAGTGATTGAAATGAAGTCGAAATCAATTGCATATTCAGTATATAAGTGGTTGACGAGGTTTAGATGATCTATTGTGTTTCTAGTGCCAGAGCATATCAGCGCAAGACTTAGTAGAAGATTTAAAACAACTCAGAATGGGTAAACCTCCAAATAGAAGCCGCAAAAGCAGTATTCCACCACCATCGCATAAACCGCCTCAGCCTATCGTTAACCCAGCTCGAGATCATTCGAGGGATTATTTTAATCAGAGATCGGACTCAGAGCTAACTGAAAATAATGACGATGCCAGCTCAACAACAAGTGAAAAATATGAACGAGACGTTACGATTTTAAACCACTGTTTCGATGATATTGAAAAGTTTATTGCAAGATTACAACATTCGGCTGCAGCAGTTAAGGAACTAGATCGCAAAAGAAAAAATAGAAGAAACAAAAAACGCGACATGGGAGATGGTATGCTGACCATGAGAGCAAAACCGCCACCAGAAAAAGAATTTATCGATATTTTCCAAAAGTTTAAATTATCATTCAATTTGCTGGCGAAACTCAAAGCTCACATTCACGACCCAAATGCTCCCGAGCTGGTACACTTTCTCTTCACTCCATTGGCACTGATAGTGGAATCTTCACACGACTACTACTTCGATCAGCACATTCCGCAGAATGTTACTGCTCCACTCCTTACACGCGAAGCCATCAACTTACTCATGAACTGCGTTACTAGTAAGGAAACTGAACTTTGGCATTCACTTGGAAATGCCTGGCAAGCACCAAGGGAACAATACCGGGGTCATGTTCCTTCCTACCACCCAGTTTTTATGGATGGCTGGTCTCCAGAATATCCAGTTGATGAGCCGGATTCTAACGAGAAACACTATCCAGAGGATGATGATTCGGACAGCAACTTCATACCGCCTATTCTAGAGAGTACGGCTAAGAGCGACATTTCAGTGGATTCCATTGAAATAAAAGGCGACGAAAAAGGATTTGGAATGGGACAGGAAAGATTCTTGGAAGAACTTCAGAATAGGGGTGCTCACATCGTCCAAGTCACGTATCCTAGAACGGCAAACAACGATAAAGAACTAACCGTTGTTAGAGGCGAGTTTTTAGAGGTAAATCATTGGCATAGTAATTAAGCACTGATATGCATTTGATTGTTTCAGATTTTGGACAGCAGTAGAAAATGGTGGAAAGCTCGCAACAGCAAAGACCAAATAGCACATGTGCCAAACACTATCGTGACCCAGTACCATTCAAGCGGCCTAAACCATCATCACAGAAGCGCGCTTCATAGAGAGGCAAGTTGCTTGAAATCGAATCAAATTCAGTTTAATGTTCGTTGATTCCCCACAGGACTCGCCTCCACATTCACGCTACCCTGGTCCAGGTTCTAGCGATGATTACAGGATTCAAACGAAACCAGCCGAGGCAATTAGAAACGAAAGACAAGGTAAGAAGGGCGAATTTCGCTATTTCTAGCTGCTAGCTTGCTTATTGTGTACGTCCTGACTGTTTCTAGTGGAGTGTTCTGGAAAATACAAATAATTTTTTAAATGTTAAACAAAAACCATATATCCAATCTATAGATTTGTTCAAACGGCTGTTTGGCGTTGGCATTAATTGTAGTTACTGTTTTTTTACGTTTGTCTTACTGTTGTTGTGTATTTTGTAGACTTGACTTAAAAATAGGTTTCGTCAGTTATGTAGAAAATTCGGAGCGTTCTTTACATATCAAAAATTAAAAAATGTTTGGTGTGTTATTGACTCATGTAATCAGTCAATTATGCCCGTTTTTTTAATACATAAAAGAGTGAGAAATGAATGAAACTGACTTTTCTACAAGCCGAAGAAATACCCATTTATCTATAAATATATCTGCCTTAAGTCAACTTTCAATTAACAGACTTGCACATCACCAACCATAATATTTCTTCGATGTATTTAATATTTATTAAAACCACGTTGTATATACAGAGTATTTTTTATCGATTTTTTACTAACTGATCATATGGAAGTATAATAAAATGTAAGTTTTCTAAATGTTTTGTGCTTTGATGTCCGTCCTTGTCCCGTTTAAAGCCTTTCGGATTCGTTGCTCGTGTGAAGAAGCCAGCTTCAAGCGCAAGCCCATTATTAAACACTACCTGAGATAATCTTACATTTTAGAGGAAAGAACAGTGAAACAACCTCCTCAACCTCCCCCATTAATTCCGGTTCCTGTACCTCCGCCTCCACCCCCAGCGGCACCTTTGCCGCCACCTCCTCCTCCACCAGTCGTTTCAGAGCCCTCAACTCCAAACTCTCAATTGAAGAGAACTGCATCTCGCCAATCTATGGGTCCAATGGCGAGTGATGCGGTACAAGAAGAACTCAACAGCGTTTTGACTTTATTGAGAGAAAAAGAGAAAGTTCGCCTTGATATTAGATCGACCCCGGAAACATATATTGATAAGAGAAGCAACCCGAAAGAGGTCCAAGCCTGGCTTAAGGCGAAAGACTTCAATGAAGCCATTTGCAGTAAATTTAAGGGAGTAACCGGTTACCAGCTGTTGGCAATGTCCAAACAGGATTTGGAGAAAGTTTGCGGAGAAAAAACCGGAGCGAGGCTCCATTCGTTCCTGCTTGTACAAAAATCTGTTAGCGGGGTGAGTAGTGTAAATGACCTTCAGTGTGAAAATGATTACCTAATTCTAATTTAATCGATTATGTTATCCAGGCACTTGAAATCTCCCTAGAATACCAATTACTAATCATAATAGTGTGCATAAATAAAACGCCGGTGATGCCAGCTGATAAAATTTGGCTTTCATTTGATAAAATTCAAGTGGACATGATTATTAATTTTGAGAGAATTCGCTTTAATCGCATATTTACTCTTTCAGTTCAAAACGTATCGCACTACAGAACTTCAGAGACTCTTGGCTAAACAGCGAGAAAAAATTGAGCAAAATCCAGGAGAATATGAGGACAACAGTTCGGACTTTTAATTGTTAACTGATGATAAGATATAGTTTTATGTTATTTATCTACCCACTGATATTTAAAAACGCTATAAGAAAATATTCGCTAGTTATAGAAGCAATTGTTCAAGAGTTCAAGTTTTCGTCAACTTATTTCAACACTTATTTTAACTTCATATCAGCAATCAAGGTATTTTTGAGCTCCGAATAATAAAATTATGTAGGTATTGTACACGTTCCTATTTTAAAAGATAAATGTTCTTTTTAATTTTTAGCCTACAATATATTAAATTTTTACCATAGGTACTCACCTGTATGTTATTTTTTACCGCTTGTGTCCGATGATTAGGCATCCATCCGAATCAGTTGCACTGTATTGCTCCGCTTTCCTCGCAATCCTATTAAAATACCGTTTAAATTGAAATAGAGATCACTAAACCTAACTAAGGCTCCGCCAGTGCCAAAAAACTAAAATATTCTGGTATTAGCGTTTTTCACGCTTTTGTTTTGGAATAGATCGGTAATTTAAATCAATATTTTTAAGAAAAGATATTGAAAATTTGAAGAATTATTGACGAATCGTCACTACACTAAATTAAATAATTTGAGGTAACTACCACTAAGGCCATTCAATAAGCAAACATCATAATCATTGATAGTTTATTTGATAGAACATCACCAAAGTGCGATATACTATTTTCAAAAGTGATTCCTCAAGCCAATTAAATATTTATGGACTAAAAATGCTTACACCACATAGGTAAAAATTCATTAACATCGAGATGATTTCACATAATGTACTTCTTGATAGTGGATAAAAGGAAGAAACTAGAGAGCCAATGCTATTAGCGGTCCTTCGACCCGGATATGTGCTAAATCCCGTTATAATTCTGTAAAAGTATTAAATATAACAAGACGAAGAAAATGTGGGATTGAAAGTGTTCATATCGCTCAAGACGGAGATGTGCGTAATCAATTTGAAATTGATTCGAAAAATCCAAGGAGGACTTTACTCTTAATCAATCGACCAATCTTATGGGCCCGAATATATGGAGTTGGCTAAATATGTATGCAAAATAATATAAACAAAAGTGTAAAACATTAAATAAACTTAGATAAAAAAACTAACAGTACAAAAGTTCTTAACTGTGGTTGCATAATTTAACAAATAAGGATTCTTTAAACTGGTTAAGATAACAATAAAAGCTGTTTCGACGGTCATAAAAAGAAAAACATGTTTTAGGAGATTTTTTAACAATCGTCAAACCTCAGGGCAAAAATTAAATCAAATTATATTTACCTTTAAAGAATCCTCACGAATGTAAAACGGGGGTGACTGATTAATATGATGCCGTAATAAACATATTAAATTTCACTTAAATGCAATTCAAATTGTATTCCTTAGTTGACAGGGCTTTCCAGTTAAAATTATCAACTCAACTATAAACAAGATCAATTAAGGGAATAAAATTTGCTAGCAAATACCCTTTAAGCTTCATGCGCTTGCACAGTCATTTATTCAAATTTACCAGAAAGCTCTTAACTAGTTCGCTTTAATGTCTATTACATTCCTGACTTCACCTACTGGACGACTAGTTTGCAATCTGAGCAAGGAAACTCCAATATTTAAAAAACAGCGAAACGTAATGTAAAATGTACACGGTGTTCTAGCAGAAAGAGGGAAACATAATTTATCAACCTATTTTTATTGCTCATACTTCTTTCGGTTGTGTTATTGCTATTTAATCAGGCTATTTTCGTAACAGTTCGTTACTTCAAAGGCACTTCGAAGCCATACAAATTTGTAATTGAACGAAGTCAGGAATCGGACAATCGTGCACTCCATAAAACCAATAAACATACTTATTGGTACTCGCGTACATATTTTAAATGGCAAGTGTACTAATTCCATACATGTAGACAATATAAAGAGGTATAAAATACACATATGATAAACATGAGTTTTTGGCAACAAGATATCTGGGGGATACACTTAGTTAAAAAATCCACGACGAAGTAAGAACGACTAAAAGTTAAATTAAAGCTTTAAAAGCAAGAAAACACTTTACCCTCTAACATTTATATCACATTCGATTGCACTAAAAAAATTAGTCTACTTTTTGAACATATAAAACAGACCCGCTTCGAAAACGCCCAGGAAAAAAACGACGATAAATATGTTAAAAATATTCGAAATGTTGCTGGTCGATCTTTGATTTACATTTACCATGTAGGTTACCGTTTTCTGGACCTGGTTGATCTTTTGATCGACCTCTTGGAGATGTTTATCCATTTCCTGTAACTTTGCTTTTATACTGCAACAAACATATCTGTAGAAAATTGGATTTGTAAGTCAACTTTAATGGAACAATTCTTTTTTGTGCGAATTTCAGATCGTGTCCTAATTCATCATGCACTTTACGATTACCGATCCCCCGAATGTTGCTGGTTAGGAAAACATAAAACTTACCTTGAATTGGATATGGTCTTCTCCTTTTTACCTTCTTGAGACGAATCAGAATGAAATTCATCGGTGGTACTGTCATTTGCATCAGCATCAGAAGAAATCTGCTTGGTAGCCAGCTTCCGCTTTGAAACTTTCGCGGAGCTCCGATATTCGATGATCTTCAAATAGAAAGGTAGTTGAAGCGACTCTCAAAGCTACTAGATAAAGTTCGGTTACCTGTTGTGGTTCCACGCTGATGATACTAGCAGTTCTGATCATTGGAGTAGGATGCTGAGTCCTAGTGAGGATCTTGTACTCATTTTCGTATTGGTAAAGATCATTTCGCGGATCCCAAGGACGCAAATCAGAATGTTTATACACCCACTGACCTGTCTTCAGGTCTTGTTGAAAATGCACTGGAACCCATTCCTCGCACTTAGCTTTGCGTTCTTTTGATCTAGCTGTGTGAAGCACAAATATTAAAGACATTTACTCAACATTCAGCTGATCTCTAACCTCTTTGTGCCTCCTCTAAAAGGGTTTTTTCCTCGGTAGCAGCGTTCATGTCATCTCGCTGTATGGCTGCAGAAACATGCTGCCATAATTTCTCAGACTCGTTTTCTCCTTGACTATCCAGCGGTACTGTATATCTCATCAACCTTTGCTTTCTTGTTGCGTGCGTTGAGGAGAATAGTACTTGCACCTCTCCAGTACGTTTGTCTTTTATGTTAATCGTTCCATCCCAATATCCTTCTATAGTAGCCAAAGTCTCTTTTCCCAACTTTAACCGGCCAGAGATACAATTCGTTTGCTCCGAACCGCCCAAAAAGGGCTACAATATATGATGCATGTACATGTTCAATTACATCACTCTGATCTATTACCTTCAATTTAAATTCCAGTTCAGTGTAGTACCCCGTTTTTTCACAATCTATTGTCACTTTGCCACCCAACTCCATTGTGAGTGTGCCCATTAAAATTCCTTTGCAATGAGCATAAGGTACGGTTAATTTGTAATCTTCTCCACGGGGCAAAAGCGTAAGAACAGCAGTACCATCGAGAATAGCCGATGTTGAATTGCCATAAAATTTCGATCTGGCTAATATACTAGCGCTAATCGCAAAACCATCTTGCCGGTTTGTAACGTAAAATGCCGAAACCTAGAGATTGAAAGCATTTCCTGTGCACTATTTACAATATTTTAATAAAAATAAATAATTTATGTCGCAAATTTAACAGAACGGAATATTAGTATTAGTTCAACCCCTAAAGAAAAAGCTCTGATTGGGGCCGATTTGAGATTTTTTTTCTAAAAAGAAGAAAAATGATGGCCTTCATCATTTTTACGAAAGAAGTTCTCGCACAAAAAGTCGTAGCCTTATCCCTCTGTATTAAAAACTACTGTAAACATGTCATGCAATGCTATTTAACAGTGGATTAAGGGAATGTTCTTGGAAGGTACTTACTGGAGGATGATGGGAAACTTGTTCGGCAATATAAAAGGTTTTGGTACCATTGGAATGTAACCAGAAACATCTGAAAGTTTCACCTAAAATCGGATTATAAGGCTTCTTCAGACCCTTGGGCTTTTTGTACAAGCCTGAAAGGTACCATTTAACAACCTCCTTCATTCTCGTGAAAGCGTCATCTTCGAGAACAGCTCTGAAATTGATTATTGATTGCCTGCTATACGACGTGCTGTTAAATAGTTGAAGTACTTACTGGGTTAGAATATCTACGTGGTAATAGGAATCGGATAATTTGTCGAGAAAAGATCTCGGTTCAAGAATGAATGTTGGCAAAACAACTTTGCTTAGATCCATACCAGGCCGCACTTGCCTTATCAAGTACCAAATTAAAGACTTGTGCTCTTCTGCTAATTCTTCTACCTGAAACAGGTATCCAGGAATGTCTATTTTGGATCTAAGAGTGAAGCGCTAGAGTTACTTGAGCTCCCACTTCTCCGAACTCCTCTTCAGTATTTACAACATAAAGTGTTTCAGGAGGATCGACATCCAAATCGTCGTCTTTATGGGATAACTCCGATTCCGTATCACTGATGTCAACTTCGCCAGTGCTCAGTTGAGCCCCATTATCAGCTTGACTAATATTATCCAAATCTGTATGAGATCAACTTCGTCAATAACCGAGCCAATTAAACTTTCGGCTCTTACCATGAACAAAATGTTTTTCGTAATCAGTTTCACTCCATTGTGTCTCATGCGTTGTGCTACCGGACGTGGATTTATTGCTGACTGATCTCACAAGAGCACTGTCATTTCGAATTGATATTTCCAAAGCATCGAGCCAGCACATGCCAGATGCCTGGCTGGGGGCTCGGAATATTAAGTATGAACTTGGTAGTGGTTGTACTACGGCCCCTGTACAGAAAATGTTTAAATAAAGCGATTTTTTTATAAATTATCAATTAATCAAAACTTTCATATACCTTACAATGTTTATATTAAAAAATACGTAATGGAAAGTTTTGTCAGCGAGATAAGCAGAATGCAAAACATTTTAACATTACACTTCTTCATGAAATATAATTTTCATTTTCACATTACTTTAAAAAATGCTGATAAATAAAATATGTCTTGTCTGTCTAATTATATAGAATTCCGATACATAAATAATCAATCTAGCTCAACAAAGCCCAGATTTATTAGAATTTTGGGCATAGGATGATTAATTGTAGGAAACCGTCCATATTTAATTTCCGGCCAACTAAAATTTAGATCGCTCAAGCTCAAAGCGTATTTTTGTAAAATCAATACCTTAAAGTAGGCGATTTTTACCTTGGGACGTAGTAAATAATTCTGAAGCTGATTTCTTTGAAAAAAAAATTGTAAATATTGCAGTAAGCAATCTCCATCGGTTGCGTTTTTAGGAAAGCCCCTTCGGTGAAAAATGTGTTGAAAATTATCACAGCACACAAGCCATTGTTTGCAATATACAGAGTCTCTCTAAAAACTTTACCACACATTTAGGAGGCTAAAATATGACGCTCTAATTTCGGCCAGAGTATTACATTCAATTTCGTGTCAGTAAATAGTTTTTTTTCAAACTGATGTATTATCACAATGTTCGGTTAGGGCAGTTTTTCGGCAGAAAAACTAAAATCAGCTTTCACCTTCATTATAAAATGTGTACTTTGGGCACATTTATAACGAACTAGCGTGTTTGGGCCACATAGTGTTTTAGGTTTTCGAATCGCATCCTCTATAAAATACGCCATAAAATTTAATATATTACTTTTTCATGGTTGAACTGAATATTTCCGTCGTTTAACGAGTAATAAATAACTAATAATAATAAAAAAATTGAATGTGTATTTAAAAAATTACAAATCTGATGGAATTATGAGATAATTTTGCTATAGCAAACAAGAAAACAGTCTATGTACGTATATGAACTGATTTAGTAGCAAGCTTACTAAAATAGAAGTATTTTCAATGAAAGTTACCTGATCTTGGCCTTGCTGTCGTTGTACAAAAAACCAGAGCAGACTTGCCCATTGATAATGAAATCAATAAATCCTCCTCTAAAGAATTGATATTCCAAGCACAAGATAATAATTAAGGGCAGAAGCCTTTTAATGCGAAAACGTCAATACCATCTAACGTAACTTAATAGCTCTATTATATGGAGGGCCTGGATTAGGAACTCCGGCTATTTCAGGATGACACATAACGAGAATTAAATGATTTTATGATGACAAAAAAAATGTATACAGTTTTTCAGGCGACAGTTATGCTTACTATTGGTGTATATAGAAATAGAAAAATTGGTGCTATGGGGAAGAAATTGTCTTCAGATATAAGGAAGAGTAATGGAATTTCACAAGTAAATCGGCATTAATGCTAAACTTATAATATCAATAAGTTATTGATTTAAAAATAATAAGTAAATGATTGCAAAACATCTAAAATTGGATTAATTTAGAGAAGTGACGTCTTCAATCTCGGCGATAGCAATAATTTTATACAACAATGCAAAACTTAAATATAGGTCAACGAGAGATTACATGTTGAATTTATTGTCTACGTGTTCATGTTCTATCAGACGATCCACATAGACTGTTAACTATACATGGAAGGAAACTCGGAAATATTAATTGAACTTGGAAAATGCTTCAAATAATAGGATGAGTTGATTGATGCCACTAACTCGGTTAAAAACTTACTAATAGTCTCGTTTTCTGGTCTCCTGTGTGCCCAAATGGTTTGCTCCAAAGGATTGTACAGTTTGAAGCAGAATCCGTCCTTCTTGCTGGGCCTTTCTATTACTTTGCAGGAGTTTAACAGTATCGTGCCAACCCAATGACTGCTCTGAAACAAAAAAATCGTTATAAATATTAAGAATTGTGTAGGTATTCATCATACCTTTACCTTTGACTTTGGGCTTTTATACAGAACCAGCAAACCCGGTTTTAAGACACACCAAAGTTTAGTCCACGACTTCAAAGTGCCCCGTACTTTTAACCAATCGGCTAGAACTACCACTGTAGGGTCTTTGAGAGAATTTAATAGTTCGTTGGTAACTCTTTTCTTTTCTTTCCGGTAATTTTTTCTTTGGGCCTTGTAAGACTCTTTACGCATTAGTTTGGAACATGATTCAGGGGAATGTAACTACAAGGGCAAGTACGTTGTTTTAAAATTCGAATGTAATGCAAATAGTTTTTTAGGTATTACCCCATCTGTGTTTACTGCGGTCTCGAGTCTATCTACATTTGTGATGCCTAAATATAGAATTAAAAACAAATATGTTATCAATATTATAAGCTGCCATTCGGGTACCGAAGGTGATGTTGAAGATTATTAGCAAAGTAACGGATTTGAAAGTGATCATTTTAACATAAATAATTCAAATTTTATTAATTATTCATGGAAATATTTATCCTCAGCAGATGTTATTCATTGGCCAATAGGCCTGAAGGCATTATTAACGTATATCAAATTCATAAGACGATTTTTGTAGATGACATACCTGGACTACCAGGCCCAGGGCTGTTACTTAGTGAATCTGTAGATGGCAATTTCGGCAAAATATTTAATATAACTCTTGATTTCTTTTCGTCATTTTTGGGATGAGCAGGAGTGCTTTTATTTGACGCTGTTCCCGTAGAAACCGCTGCATCTGGATTGCCAGGACTATTCTGAACCCCACTATTTGCAGACATTGTTTACGGCAAAAATAACTGCGACAATTTTTTTGCTAATTAAGTATATAACCAAAAAAATATCAGAAAACAGATTTACCTATAATCAGTGGCAACGAGTCGTTATAAACCAAAATACCAACAAATTAACACTTCTTTTATAAAATATATTCGCATTTGCACTTCAAACATCTCTGAAGTAATTAATGACAATCATAACAAAACTATAAACTCAGTTCTAAAATGTCATGCGTAAAAGCGGAAGACTAGAGGAATAAAGACAGCGCATAACTCACTGTAACAGTGTTGCCATTAGGTGCGAAATATCGAAGACATCAACATCTTCTACTACATACAGGGTGTTTGCAAAATATTTGTACCAAATTCTACCAGATTCCTGAGGTGAAGACATGACGATATAACCTAATTTGTCTCATCCAAAAGTGCACGGTTTCAGAAATAGAGGCCGTCAAAGTTAAGATAAAAAAAATATATTCGTAAAGCCTAGTTCTCATAACCAAATTTTCGGAAAAAAATTCCGAATAATCGGACGATTTGACAGCTGTCGGAAAAAGTTGAATTTATTCCAAGTTTTTCCGATTATTCGGAAGGATTTGATAGGTTATGTAAATTCAACGTAATGTTATTACACAACACATTAGAGAGATTTTCCAACGAAGACCAGAACAAGTAGCATATTAAAATGTATTCAAAAAATGCGTCTTCAAGATCGAGGAAAACATTTCAATTACATGAGATTGTCGAAAGAATTATTCGATATTTTATTATCAGTTATCAATTCAAGTTGGACCTCATATTACTAAAAACTGTTAAAGCCGAGATCCTATATCTGCAGGAGAAACATTAGCATAAACTTTACGATATGAACACTTTCAGTGTAGATTTTATTCCATTTTTTCAAGCTCAGCCTATGCAATACTGCTGTATATAATTGCGTAAATTTATGTTTTTGGCTTCGGCGGATAGTGGTTTCCGTGTCCATGAATTTCGTATGGCCAGACGCCGTCAGACGTAAAGACGAGTTTGGCGAACGTCGAGCGAGGGAACGAAAAAGTGGGCTTTTAGGTTAAAATCGCGGTCATTGTTACCAACCACTGTCATTGCCACCAAAACGAGTCAACATTATTGCTTTTTTTCAGCAAGAAATAATCGCACATGAGAACTATTTCCGAAAATTTGCGTATGAGAACTAGGCTTTAGGGCGCGAGCGATTAGAATCCGTTAACATTTTCTATGCACATTAAGGCATAATCGGAGATGTACGAATGCCAATTAAAATTTTTAACGAATTCTAATTTTACGCCCCATAAAACCTTCATATGGCGATTATTTTATATACTTACTCATATAGTGTAAGTTCCGTTTCATCCAAACTCAACGTGATAAATAACGCAGCTTTGATTTTATAAAAATTTTACTAAGTACAGTTTCAAATGTTCTAATCAAATAGCATAACTTATTCTCAGGTATTACGATATATTACATCAGTGTATGCCAACAAAACACTTGAATTTGTACAAACATTAGCGCCTACTAGCACCAAACAAAATATTAGACTAAATTAACGTAAAAAATAGAAACATACAAAAAAGTTACTTTCAGGAAATCCACGATGGAAACTCATTTACAAAACAAATACACCCACGGATTTCCCAAGTTAACAATCTCAAACTGTCTACAACTAACATAGTGTGTAACGGGAATTATTCCAGATCGGACGAAGGATGGTGAAAATCAGAATGGCGGGATGGGAGATAAAATCTCGGGACTTTATTAATCCGAGTATAAAAAACTTACACCTAATGCTAACAATAAGCCAAAATAAAACAACATAATCGAAAACATATGTCTATTTCTAAATATTTACAAATATGTAATGTGCTTTTTACATTGGTAAATTGCCGTCTGACTCACTATACAGCCCTGTAGTGATGCGTACCTCCTCCGAGATTTATAAATAGCAGATAGGTACGGCTTATATAACCAAAATATATAAAAGCGAACCATTTTATACATTTTTATTTAAATAATAGTAAACAAAATGCAAATTTGGAAACCGTCGAAAATCTGTACACATATAAAACAGTGCCTATACAACTCTAAAAATATTACTTTCGGCGATTATCAAACATACTTGGGGAGCCTGTCCTAACCTGTACCCAAATTCCTAAAAGTCCCACAAAAAAAATGAAGTTGCAATATATACATGAATCATCTTCATTATCGCATACATGAGTATAATTAAAATTGGCGTCTATGTCATTTTATCAGACTTATAGGACAGTCTCTCCTAGTATTGCAAATACTAAGACTGAAATTAATTGCTTTCACTGTGGTCGGCTTCTGTAGTAATCTCTGTCAGCAGTTCGCCACTCTCCAGTACTAAACCTCCCATCTGGTGGGTATATTGGAGGAATTCCAGGAGGGAAACCTCCTGCATAGAATTGTCTTTGGTTCATGCTTAATGGAAGCAGTCCTCTTGGTTCTCGGGAGTAACCGCGCCAATCAATCTTACCATCAGGCGACCTACAGAATGCCATGACAGTGACAACGAGAACTTTATAACGAACAAGGACAAAACGCAAATAATACTTTCACCAAAACAAAACCAAGAAGCGAAAATATAACCAAGAAAGCGAAAACACGGCCTGTATTTGAATAACACAGATCCGCAAAATATGCCTGCAAAACAGACAGTGAGAATAGTGCAGATTTGACGTGAGACGTCACTTGTCAGGTGTTAACAAATAAAAAAAGCAATAAACTGCAACTTAGGGCCAACTGCACCGCTTCGTCTTAGGCGTTAAGTGGAACTTAATAATTTAAGTTGACTGCACCGCAGTTAAAGCGCCACTTAAACCAGTCTAAGTGGCACTTAGCCTAAACCGTACTCGCGGTTCGGCTTAGCCATAAGTGGGACCTATACGCAAGCGTCGCGGATTGGTTGACGGGTTACACATATATACATAACCAAAAACACACTGTTGAAATCACGTTTAGGTTCATTCTTGTTCGGCGGATATCGGATATATATATATAATAAAATCGGCAGCGCTCTTACTCCAGGCATTGTCTTTTTCTCTCCACGTGCACGAGTCAGTCAGTGATTTAATTAAATGGAATACCCAATGAAATCGAAAAATACTAAATTACCAAAATGAATGCGCACTCCCAATTATACCAATTAGGAGAAATATCGGTTATTAGAAATATGCCCAGACTATAAAGGGATAATCGAAAACAAGAAAACTGACTCGTGCACGTGGAGAGAAAAAGACAATGCATGGAGTAAGAGCGCTGCCGATTTCAACGCCTCGTAACGCAAGTAAAGAATCTTTGCGGAAGTCCTACGAAAATAAAAATAAAAGAAGTCCGAATCGAATGGTTGTGTCCCAAGAAAAAAAAACGATAATACAGACCGGCAGTGGTGCAGCATTTACACCTTCCCAGGACCCTTCTAATGAAATTATTAAGTCAGAAATGAAAGCGGCAGATCGTAAAAGAGAGCGAGAAGAAGCAGAGCATGCTATATAAGTAAAATGCTTACAATTAGACATTGCTCCTAAGAAAGCCGAATTAAAAAAAAAATAAATCCGAAAAGAAAAAATAGAATTGGTGTTTTTATATAAATATATTAGTTGTACCATTAGTCTCTTTGGTTAGTCGAAACTTTTAAAAAAATGTGTAATCATCCAAATTATGAAAAAGATTTGCACGATTGTTAATCCGCCTTGGCACGCCAAATTCAATTATCTCCAATTCATCTATATCGTCGTCATCGTCCTATATTAAAGAATTTATAAAGAACGCCATGATTTACCCTATCAGATATCCGCCGAACAAGAATGAACCTAAACGTGATTTCAACAGTTTGTTTTTGGTTATGTATATATTTGTAACCCGTCAACCAACCCGCGACGCTTGCGTATAGGACCCCGGCTAAGCCGAACTGTTAGTACGGCTTAGGCTAAGTGCCACTTAGATTGGTTTAAGTGGCGCTTAAACTGCGGTGTAGTCAAATTAAATTATTAAGTTCCACTTAACTCCTAAGCCGAAGCGGTGCAGTTGGCCCTTAGTGTCCCTTAAGTATTTAAGTGACGCTTATGATGAAGACGGTGCAGTTGGCCCTTAGTGTCTGATTTTTCTTAAATAAACTTGAACGTGCGTTTCTCATTATCTGCACTATTCCTGAATGAGAAACTCACATTCAATTAAAAAAAAAAATCAGGCACTAAGTTGCACTTTATTGGCTTGCGGTTTATTGCCTTTTTTATTTGTAACACCTGACCTGAACGTTTAATTATCGAATTTAATTACGATTTTCCCTCCCGAAATTTAAATTAATCTTGAACAATTCCCCAACAAATGCTAACTTAAAATCTAAAACTTATAAATCTTACCGCTTGTCTCCACGGTTGTAGTCGCGCTCTCCTCTGTGATATCCTGGAACTCTTGGATAATCACTAAATGGCCTTTTGGGATGCTCGCCGGGAAACCGTTCTCTAGGGAGTCCAGTAGCAGACCATCTTTCATGTTCCAAATGCACGGGGGGAGCAGTATGCCTGAAAGTCGGTGCCGTTCTATGACGATTGTATCGATATTCCCCTTCCTCTTCAGTGCTGATCTCTTCTCGATTTCGCTTACGGTCTTTATCTGGATGTTTCTCACGTCTTTCTCTTCTTGAAAAAAAAAACACATTTATAAACTGTTAGATTATTAATGCGACAAGTGACATAACAAAAAATGAGTACTTGCAGGATTACAGTTTAGTAGATAGACCATATTCTAGTGTAAAACGTAGCTTTACTTACTTTTCAGTGCCATCCCGATGTTTCTTAGTCGGCCTTTCCTCTCTCTCATTATTTTCCTCTGGTTCGTGCTTCCTTTTGTGATGATGATGATAGTGAGGTTCTTTGTCGCTATCCTTCCGCGTTCTGTCCTTTTCCTTACTAGTCGATGCAACCTAGTACAAATAAGATTTATTTTAGTAACGGAAAAATATACATGTAAAATATATTTCTCATTTTAAACAAACATTACGCTAACCTGTTCACGATTTCGATCCTTCTTTTCCAATTTTTCTTTTTTCTCCGCTTTCTTAGCATCCTTTGCTTTGGCTTTTTTATAAAGCTTATACAACTTTTTTGCGTCATATTCTGTGAACTTCGACACGAAGTACCACAAATTACTAGAAATAATTGAACAGTTGTAATAATAATTAATTTAAGTTAGTGAAATATTCTTACCTTCTCCATTCCTTGATTTTTTCAGCATCAGTGTATTGACCTAACACAGTATTGATTTGTTCCCCAATCTGAATGAGACATTCCCGAGTATGTTGGACTTGTTCACTTTCCGTCATTGACTGATCAGGGTTGTCTAAAGCTTTTAAAGCTTTTTTCACTGGTCTCATTCTCTCTTTACATTCGGTGAAAATTGCAGGGTCCAAGTCTCCTAACACGTTGATGGCTTTTGGTTCATTATTAGCAGTGAAATGCATCGGTCCAGCACTCTTCTTTTCTTTCTTGGCCTTCTTCTTTTCTTTCTTTTCCTTTTTAATTGCAACGTCTTCGGCATCTTTGTCATTATTAATTTCTTTTTTGACAACGGGTACTTTAACCTTTTTCGCTGTCGAACTACTCACACTCTGGCTACTATGTAATGTCGATTCATCATTGGAGCTAAAATCATTATCAACTATTTCCTTAGATTTCGCGTCTTTAATCTCTTTAGCTTTTCGAGGTCTTTTAGGTTTTTGAACCTTTTTATTAGGATCGAGTTGCTTCTTTAATAGCTTCAACAGATACTCAGCTCGAGACTGCAAGTGCTTCGCCTGCGGTTTCTTATCCTCGTTCAACAGGACCTTATCACCAATTTTGAGAGAGGGATCAAGCTTTATTTGCTCCCAAGATCCAATACCATAGACATAAATGCCTCTCAGTAGTTTTGAATCTTCTTCTGCACCCCATTCAACATCGAAATGGGCGGGTTTCGTCCGGACCTCAAGCATCCATTTATTTCTTTCATCTTCATTTGTTGGTAAAAGTTCATCAAGGGCTGCTAATTCTTCTTCGCACTGCATCATAGTTTTTGCGTTAACTGATACACCGCCGAGCTTGAAAGAAGGTCCTCTTATCCGTTTTTTGCCTTGATTATCGGCATTGTTCGCGTCGTTATTCTCTTTGCTCTGTTCATTCATGTATGCTACACAGCGTTCATGAAGCAGTTCGCCCAGTTTCCGTAATTCTGCCAATGGTTTTTCTTGTAATTCTGCTTCGCACGCTACGGCTTCCAAACGTTTTAAAGGAGCACTGAATTTTTTGTAGCTTTTTACAAATCTGCGAATTTCGGCGTCAGTAAAATTCTTAATTTTTTCGCGGTTCCCTACAGGTGGACGCCCACGCCTTTTTGGTCTCTCATCATCTGATTCCTCACCCTCTATACTGGATCCGGATTCATCGTTTTCCTTTTTGTTCGTTTTCCTGTGTTCTGCGCCGTCCCCATCGCTCTCTGACTGATTAATCTGCTGAAGTGTTTTTCTATTTCTCGGTGGCAAGTACAAGTCTTCCATTTCTTTATTCCTTTCTTCATCCTCGACTTTCTTTCTGAGGTTTTCCGGGATAATTTCATCCCAATCTTTACTTTCTTCGTCATTCTCGTTTTTCGTTCGTACTGGAGAAGGAGTGGCATCTTCATCAAAAGCTGCAAAACTAGCCACTTTGAAAGCAGAGAGTAACTCGTCTCCAACCATTGACGGGGCTTCGTCCCGAGTCTCAGCTCTTCTTAAAATTTCATCTATATCACAATTAGGCTCTTCATCAACATCTTCATCTTTAAACAATTCTTCTGCGCCAAATTTCAGAATTGCTGTTAAGTCTTCTTTGTTAAATGGGTTATTATTGGTAGATGCTTTCTGATTCAGAACGGTTCTACCCGTAGTGTCCATTCTCTGTATAACTAAATGATCTAAGACCATTTTCTGTTTGGCGCGTTCTACTATCTCTTCTTCGACACTTCGAGCTGTCACCAATCGATAAATATTGACTTGGTTTTTCTGACCGATTCTATGTGCTCTTGCTTGAGCTTGCAGATCATTTTGAGGGTTCCAGTCGGAATCAAAAATTATCACCGTATCGGCTGTCGCCAAATTGATACCTAAACCTCCCGCACGCGTAGACAGGAGGAAACAAAAATCTGGAGAGCCATCAGCATTAAAATGATCCAATGCTTGGCGCCTAATATCTCCTTTAATGCTACCATCTAATCTTTGGAATGGAAAATGTCGTAACTGTAGATATTCGGCCAAAATGTCCAACATACGCACCATCTGAGAAAATATTAGCACTCGATGTCCTGTTTCCTTAAGCCGAATTAACAGCTTGTCTAGTAAAACCAACTTTCCTGAACCCCTCAATAAAGATTGCAATTTATCTTGACAAGTGTATTGTGGTTCAGCTTCTGATGGTTTCGTCAAAAAAGCATGATTGCAACACTTCTTAAGCTCAATGACAATATTCAGAAAAGTGTTTGATGAACCTTTCACACCTTTCCGTAAAGCGTTGTAATTTTTCGTTAAAATCCACTTATAATACTGCTTTTGAATTGAAGTCATTTCAACTCGAAGAATTTGTTCTACTTTAGCGGGTAACGATTTCTCTACGTCTTTTTTTACTCTTCTCAGAATAAATGGCTCTAACTGCTTATGGAGTTTTGAGTAGCCCTTTGTAGATGCATGTTCATGATCTTTTTCGAATTCTTCCCACGTCACAAACCTATGACAAAAAGAAACACAACAATTAGACCAGTAGAAAATAATTTGGAGTTACATGGTTAACTGAATTGCGATCAATGTAAAACTTACTTATTTGGCATGATGAAATGCAAGAGCGCCCACAGTTCCTTCAAGCTGTTTTGCAAAGGAGTCCCGGTGATTAAAAGGCGATGATTAGTATGAAATTCCATAAGAGCTTTGTATAACAACGAATCATCATTTTTCAGCCGATGAGCTTCATCCACTAGCAAAACTGCCCAGCTTAGACTTCCCAAAAAGGCTTTATCCTTAAGAACAATTTCATAGGTAGTCAAAATTGCGTTGAATTTAAGCCTTTTAGAACCATCGTAACACCATTCGTATTGACGAATCTACGGATAACCATTGTATATGAATTCGGCGAAGGTTCAACTGATAAATATGTACTTACAATTTCTCGTGATTGTACGTCTCCTAAATAAGTGACGAAGTTCAATTCAGGAGCCCACTGGGCAAATTCTCTTTGCCAAGAGGTCATCGTGGAAAGGGGTACCACGCATAAGAATGGCCCATGAAGGTTATGGGTATTAAATAAATAGTAAAGAAAACATATTGTCTGTATCGTTTTCCCCAAACCCATTTCGTCTGCCAAAATAACAGAGTTTTCCTTAGTCCATGAATGAATCATCCAATTCAGTCCATGAATTTGATAGTCTCGTAGAACTAATGCCTGGAATAAGCAAATTAATTGGTTATTTTGGTCAGAAAATTAGTACATGAATTAACAATTCGCTGGTACATTAAACATTACTTACGTTTTCCTTGCCCATCATATATTCTGGCTGACTTTTGACCTCGTGGAATTTAGGGCGGTATTTTAGCACTTTACAATGTTTTGTAGGGGTTTTTGTTGATTGTTCACGTCCCTGAAACTCCTGGACTTTTTGCGGCCATTTTCTGTGAATCAATAAAGAGTCTTCCCAAGTAGACTCGGCATAGGATAAACTCTCCCACTTCACAAAGAAATCAGTACCTCCGTCTGGTTTATTGTACATGGCTAAAGTAAAAAAAAATAAGTAAACACAAACCAACCTGTTTAAGAAATGAAAAATATTACCAATTATTCTTTCCACCTCATTATAACTTTTCAGAAGCTCTTGCGACAATTCCAATTGGCATTCATAATATTCAACATCTTCCGGCGTTGAGTAGCTGATCCATTTTTGTATTTCGGCATCTTTTTTCATATAGTTGTCTAACTTTTTGATCCCTTTAACTTTTTGTTCCTTAAGAGTCTGCTCAGATTCCCATGTGTTGTGAATGTGCGCCCAATCTTTCCATTTTATTAAAAATTGATATTCGGTATTTTCATAATCATTGGGATTTACGTCTGCATTTAGATCCCCGTGTTCCTCAACATAGTAGCAGGTCGTTATATTTCCAGTAACTACAAAATATCAACATATTATCCAGTGACTGCTAAAGTGGGAAGTCTTTTAGGCTAGAAGCTAAAAAAATTGTTTCCAGTCTCACCTCCTTTCTTTCCTCGCCGTTGTGCTAAAACTCGTTCAATGGTCTCACATTTTTCTTCCGTGACTGGTTCAATTAGCTCTGATGGGTCAACTTCAACTAAATCTTCAGAATCAGTTTTCTCTTCACTGTCTTCTTTGTAACTAACTGCGGCTGCTGTTCGTCTGGAAACCGTTCGACGTTTTTCGTCTTCCGAGTCTCCATCAGTAGATTCATCTGAACTATATCTAGTTTTCCTAGTTACGATCCGTTTTTGAGCAGTAGCTCGGGATCTTGCGCCTACGCGTTTGCTTGGAGGCGGACGTTCTCTCTCACTATCTGACTCCGAAGAGCTGGCATCATTATATTTCCATTCATCGCGGCTAGTTCTAATTTTACTGTTGCCATCCGGTCTCGGCGGTTCGCGTTTTGATCTTGCAGAACGTCGAATTTCCGGCTCAAAATCTTCATCCTATCCATTTTTAAGTGGGATTTAGAATAGAATTACTATCGCAAAAATGTTGTAAATAAGCACCTCGGAGTTGTGGTCTTTGGACGAATCAGACCTAAACTGCTCTTCTGATGGACCAGGAATACTCGAAACGAACTGTGAAGCTTGTTGAGTGTATTCTTCATTCATTTTTAATGTCTCATTATCTGAACCATTGTCACCACCACTTTCCGACCCTGAGCCTGAACTAGATGATCCTGAGCCGCTGTAAGAGTTTCTTCATCTCATATATTCGTACAATTACTATCATGCATATTAGAAACTACTTATTTTCACGTCCAGGTAAAAAGATAAAATGCAGCAAAAGAATTACAGATGGGCTGATAAACAATATTCAATTAAAGATAACAGTAACAACACCCTTAAAAAAATGTGTTTCTGTTCTCGTAAGTTAAGTAAAATTTGTTTCAAGCCTTAAAGTAACTCTTGGTTCTTGCATTATTCGCTGTCAAATAGTACCTATTCGTTACCAACCCTTAGATAACACCAATAGCATATATTCACTGAACACTATGTGTATTTAACAAATATGTGAACGATCGACACTGCATATTAGGTTAAAACAAACGTGAGAAGAAACGGGAAAAAAAATTCCACGTTAGAACTATCAATGGTTGTGTGCGATTTCCAGTGTTAGTCCGTTTAATTCTACACTGCCGACCAATATTATGTCCATATAATTACGAATTTCAAAAATAATGAGTGCGTTGCCATGGGGATGCATCCACTCTAATGAATCTACTTAGACAGAACGTTCACACATAATATGAGGTAGGCTGTTTAAACAGGGTGTCCCGTAAGGACATGATCAAAAGGATACTACGATATTCTTTGCATCAAAAGGATACTACGATATTCTTTGCATCAAAAGAAGACGATCTGACCTAACTTTTATTAACAAAAACTGTCTGCCTTCTCTGCTGTTGATGATCAAAGTTGTACAAAAAAATTTTCTTTTTCGAAATATCGGGAAAATGGTGCGAGGTATTTTTAGGTGAAACTCGCTGTGAATTTGTTCTTATGTAAGACTTTATCACTTACCTTGTAAGAATTACCACTTAACAATATTAGACATTAACTACAAATATCGTAATACGAGGCATAATTTAATTGTCAATCAACCTCACCAATTCGATTCGAATGACTTTTTCTAATGAAGAAGTGACCGACATGGTCAAAGAATTAGGGTTTTGCGAAGACAACTTGCGTGAAAACGTACGCGTTTACGCGGCGCATATTTGCAGTTAATGTCCAGCATTGTTAAGTGGCTAGAAAACAGACATATTTTTTGCGCAAAAATTATGAATGTTACAAGACAGAGCACAAAATTGTGGATAAATGATTAGTGCATCAACAAAAAAAATGAATTGATTCCATCCACCAAATAAAAAGTTCAGGTAGTTTTTGTATCACGACACTAAATAATTCACCACTTGTCTAAAACGGCTGAACCCGATTGTTTTATCAAAATATGATTCTTACGCAAGAACACATTCACAGCGAGTTTCGTCAAAATACATCGTACCATTCTCTCCATATTTCAAAAAAGATATTTTTTTTGAAGAACTTTGACCATCAATAGCAGATGAGCCAGACATTCTTTGTTAATAAAAGTTAGGTCAGATCGTCTTCTTCTGATTCAAAGAATATTGCAGTACCCTTTTGATCATGTGCTTACGGGACACCCTGTATATACCCATGTAATCTGTTTTCGTTTTCATTTTGATTTATTTATTGGACTGAGTTAAGCTGAATGTAAGAATTTCCATTTTGTCTGTAATTTGTGACTGTGGTCCGTTTCTTTGCCGATGTATGATTACATTTGTACTGGATATTCGCTATATTGGCAACTCATTTGCGTATTATATTGGGTTTTACTATTTTAGCCTTGAGAAGACCCCAATAAAGGTCGAAACGTCGGCAGATAGTTGAAGAGTGACGTTTTCATCATTGTCCCACACCTGCTACCTTCACGTTAATTGAAAAGAATGCAGATCATAAATCAGCTGATACATATGTTTAAAAGCATAAACCCCCTCTAAGACTGATGATTATGGAATAGCTAACAACAAATATAAAGTTAGAAGCAATAAAGATATAGCACATTTTACAAATCATAATCAGCTATCAATTTCATATCTTACTATAGGTATCTATGCGTCATTTTAACCTGTTGAATAATGTGGTCAACGTACTTCAACTGATAAAAATATCGAATTATTATTTCATTTAACATCTCTCTAATATAAACAAAATATAATTAATGAAACAACGAAGAAAATGTAGTAAATTTCAAAAGAATTTTCTTGATATCTGTTTCTGGGGCAAACAAAATGAGCGGGGATTTATTTTCTGTAATCGCATAACACTTCGTTAAAATAAGATGACTAATATGTTTGGTAATTGGCTGCATTCTGTACTAGCTAATATAGAGCAAGTAATTTCAAGAATATTTCCTCCCCGCATAGTATTCTATCTATAGTGTGATAAAATTATCATGAAAAAACCTCAATTTATTAATATTTCTGAAACCGTAACGAGACATTTATTGTAACTTTACAGGCTTTAAGATAAGAGTACTACTTGTTTAGTAATTACAATGTTTCCAGTCACATTATCTCGACAATTTTAAACAAAAAAATGATCAGATTTTTTTTCAGATAAAATCAATGATTCAGATTTATGTTCAATTTGAATAGAAAATGGTCTTACTTTTTTTGTAGGTCATACTGTCGTTTGGACAATCCTTTGCGTAAGGGAGTTTGAATTAATAACTTGCGATTTACTAAATTTACTATCGCCCGCCAGTCACGTCAATATTTGGGATTTCTTAATAGGTATTTGATACAACGGTTATCCTATAAATTAAAATGCGTATGACTAATCCTCAGAGATGAATTGCTACCATTATTTATAACCACAGTAGATAAAAAACTAGGAATAAAAATTAAGGAAATATATTTGAAAAAACGCCTTTGAATCCTGCAGAAAAATATCAATACTTCAATCAAAAATCCTATAGTTAAAAATATTATTTGTTGAGCAGTTTCGAAGATTCAATTCAAGAGACAAATTATTTATAATAAATGGAACCATTGTTAAGAAGAGAAAGGCTGTGTAACATAATGCAAATGTTTAAAATTCATAAACATAAGAAGTTTAAAATTAATAAGGATAAATGATTGCACGTTTAAAAGCCTACCTATTGTAAATTTTCTCATTGTGAATGAACCAAAGGAGCATTTAAAACAATAGAACTATAGGTATACACGCCGATCAATAAAATTTATCAAATTTAAACAGCATATTTATATCAGTATACCCATGTAGAAAGTGGCTTGAGACTTTTTCACATTCTACATATTTGTTTTCTAATGTAAGAGAAACAATTGATATCACAACTCGCGTATAAAATCTCCTACCTTTAGTCGACCTCTTGAAGTCTACGTTGATCTGCAGATATCAAAAACACCCCCCTTGAGGTAACATTTAACAGCAAATGTTTGTCAGAACCCCACCGCAAGTTTAAAGAAAATGTCATAAAAAACCATCAGTCCGCTAATAATTAATTCAGTTTAATGCTCAACAATTTACTGTGTACTAACCTATCCGAGCCAGAATTCTGCTGACTATCTGATGAACTCCCACTGTCTGATCCAGACTTGTCAGATTCTTCACCACTCTATAAAAAAGGATGACAAAGATTACAACAATGATATGACCCATCATATGACCTAAGCTGTTTCAATACGAAGAAATGCAACAGTTCAATCATGAGTATTAACTAGAAACACCAGCTTTATTACTGCTTTATGAGACCCTGTATAAAATTACCGGGCAATCAGTTATAAAGCTGATCAAGCAATCCTCAAAGAACCAAAACAAACGCACAAAACTTGTTTATGAAGTAAGGAATTCTTCAGGCAACCGGCCAAAGGATTTCGCGTGATTGGCGATTAAAGAAAGGTGATAAGAAAGTAACACAACCACCACGTGTTAGTCTAAAATTTGCCCACCCTAGCAAGCAATCAAATGAATAAACTATAAAATATAAAACACTCTAATCCACATAAGACTGCAAGGGTGTTTTCTGAGAACAGACAGTTTATAAAGTATAGTTGCGCCCCCACGTGCCTTTCGAACATTTTGTTCATCAATTTAGGATAAAAACGTGGTAATAGTTAAATAGCAAACATATGGAAAGGTGTTTCGACGAATGAACTAATTAGAAGTTTAATTTAATTCTTCACATACGTATGAAAAGTGCATCTCATTACTACCCTTAGAGGTGAAATAATCATTGCACTATAAAGAAATTATAGAGGCGCAAAATAGTTAGTTACATAACAAATCCATTATTGTAAAGGTGTAAAATAACAGTCACAAATAATCAAACGTATTTTGTAGATAAAGGGTAGCATTTTGAGCATAGAAACGACTATTTTTAAGTTAAATTTACTCAAAAGGGTCCACCTTAGAAATCGAAAATTTTGGGCTTAGTGGCTGCAGGAAAGTCCAAAGAACATATATAAGCAAAAAAACGAGTGGTACACACATCCCTTAGTAAAGAAAAATCGAAAACCATTTGTAAACAACATTATAAGAGGGCACAATTAAAAATATGTTAGAACCATGTGGACCACGCCCTTGACTGGGCATTGCCAGGACCACGGGGGGACACTCGAAACCAATTGAAAAACCATCTAGATCACTGTTTTTACCCTGAAATAATAACTTAAAGGGTAAACTTACCTCGGGCATGGTGCAGAGTGTTTTTGCCAAACTACTAAATAAATACACAAACTAGGTCGTATCAAATATCTTTGGGGTAAAGTATACACATTCCCGAGCAAGAATCCAAAAGAAAACTTCTCAAAAGTTGAGTAGTAATGCAGAAATATGAACTTCACTTGATATATCAGCAAAGTGCGGAAAGGTTACACGCCATTTTGTTCCCCGACACGGATAAAGAAATTAAGTAACAAAACTGAATAAGAAAAACGTTTCTTTTCCACGGTATTATTAATATTCCTTCTAAACACGCGCTTTGAGGTTAAATTATCGCGATTCACAGAATCCAAGAGTTAACGTTGCACTACTTTTAAGACTCCAAGTTATACACACTGAACACCTCGGCCATATTGTAAATTGTGAATAATCGACAACGGCGATAGCGTAGCAGTACTACTGCGCATTTGCACGTCACACAAGATGGCCGCCTTTTCGAGCGGGCGATTCAAATTTAGCCAATAATGAAGCAGAAACGGGCGGTCGGCACTCTTTAGAAAGCGATGGATTTGGTTTGAACATGAAAAATTTACTGAAATGGAATGGAGTCTATTAAAATTTACGTCACATCCTGCCCGCGAAATTTAAAATGTTCTACAGAACGATTCTAGAACATTCCACTAAGAAGATCACTTGAAATACGGTGTAATTTCAGACAATTTGGACGACGTGAAACGAAACGTGTACAAAATAATCGATAAAAACGAACCCAGATGAAAATGTGCGATAGTTTTTCCTTTATATTAGGAAAACAAAACTGAAAATCTAAAAAATGTCGCTATATTCGTAGGGAAAAATTGTTAAAAATGCCGCAAATTTAATAGATGGCTTGTAGAATATTTTTAATAAAAAATTATTATTTTAAAAATATTTTTCTTGGATCAACTGTGAAAAATGGACAATTACCGATTTTTTTAAAAATCTGTTAAGCCTAAATAATTTTTATAATTTACTTTTTTGAACGTCCAATAGAATAGTAGAAAATTTCAATTGAAAATAAAATCATGGATAACGTATACACCTAATTTATTGCACAGTTATACAGCAGTTACTAAAAATATTAATACCATCTCAGCATCTTCCATATAAATACAATAAATAATCACAAAAATCATGGCAATCTGTTTTTCGGTCATAACCTGTGCAACAAGTGTTTTATATTAAACAAATGAATTTAACATTATTTGTCTTTTTCAGTATTTAGACATAAATTATACGCATTAGCATAACAGTATCACCCAAATATATTGTGAGTTTCACGGCCTAATTAAAACCAAACGAATTATTATGAAACCAAGTCAATTATCCAATTGTTGCTAGTTTTATTTTCGAAGCAATCCACACATTAGATTATTACAGGGTCCAGCGAAATATTTTTCAAAAATATCGATCATTGATTTAGACATCAGAATACGTACGTACCTTAGACCCTCGTCTTTATCTATGCTTAGACCTAACCTAACTTATGACTTAGCAAGTCCCAAAAAAAATCAGAACTTGCTATGGGGGCTGAATACTGAGCATGGATTGATTGAAGACCCATTTAAAAAATATTTTTATAAAGTTGTTTGCCTTTATTTAGACAGAGGAAATTACACAAATGTGCTTCTATGGAAATTGTAGAAAGCTCTAGTTCCTCAATCCAACATTAAACCAAGCTCACTTAAGGCAAACCTCAAAAAATACATTTCAAAGCCCATTCAACTAAAGTATCAATTAGACTCCGATTTCTTTAATTCAAATCTATCAAGTACTCAGATCTCAATTGATATTAGACGATATTTTATAAAACCCAGTAGATTTAAATTTACAATTAGAGAGTTTATCATTTATAAAATTAATTGGAAACTAATAATAAAACAATAATAAAATTAATTGGGAAATAAAAATAAATAAGTGTTTAAGAAAAAAAGAATACCTTTACTGTTAATTCCTTGAATTGATTTTTTTTTTAATTAAAAAATGAATGGTATGCCAACTCACTGACAGACGTAAACTCATTCGAAGAGAACCTGATTCCCAACTAACGCAATTAAATTAATTAAAAATGTTGCCAGTTTAAATATTCCTCCGAAGATGGCAGCCGTGCTACGACAAAATGACAAACCTCAATTAGCGTAAGAAACAGAGAAAATAATAGAAATAATAAAAATTTCCTTCGATAAAAAAACGTTTGTAAATTGCTTATACATTTCGCCAGACCCTGTATTATCAATACAAACATGGTGGTAAAATCGGTTTTCTATGCCTTAGATGAATTGGTTAAAACTGATATAAAATACGATTTTTATTATTTATAAATAAATGCAGATCACATAAAAACAATTAGAATCTAATAAAGGAATGGAGCAAAAATTTGTACTCATGTCATTATATATACCGCATGGGGCAACCAAATGGAATAAACTCGGAATCTGAATTGTTGAAAGACAATTTCGAATCCTACTCTTACGTAGACGATCAGAACGATACTTTCACATTTGAAAATTGCAGCTCAAAGCAAGCTGGACTACAATGAATATTTAAAAAAAGAATAGAATTTATCGCAAAAATCTATTATTTTAATTAAGAAACTGAATGTATTCCATACTTGGTTGTTTCGCGCTGTATATGCAATTTAAAATTCTCATAAAAATATTCAAAGCTCCGTCTAATAATAATTGAAATAAGATATATTCACCAGTCTATGATGATCTTGGAATCTTATGCCTCAGAACCAGCGCACTCTCTGCAGAGATAATCGGCAAAGCATTGTCAAAGTGGAACTGTATCAAATGGCTGACGCTGCTAAACATTCGATCTTTCGTCCTTACCTGCAACAAATTTGCATCATTAATAAACAGTTCTTAACAATAACATAACTTTATAAATTGGGACTTGCTTTGAAGGATACTTACAACGCCTTCTGGGTCGATCAGCAAAAGATGCTTCTTATTATTGTCCTGCATTCCTGACAAAACAAACTGGCCGGGCGTATTTGTAGATTCCCGAACTAAGAAATCCCCATCTCTCTGCAACAGTCTCTCCGCATCGGCTCGGGTGATAGGCCCATGAAACCAGAATTCCTTCTTCAGCTGTTCTAGATTATCTACATCTGTTCTCACATTTGATCCCGTTGATGACGCATGTTGCGAGAAAGGTTCTGTAACAATACAACAAACGAATTGAAAAGAGCTCACATTATACCAATAAGAGAACTTACGCATATCAAATACGTCTCGTTCCCGATTGACTGCAACGTTATCATTAACGTAATCATGATGAGGGCCTTCTGCAGACGCTACATCACAATTAAAATCTATTAGATTTGGGGTAACAGGAGGCAGCGTGGTAAAAGGGGGTACCAAGGCGGGCAAAGGAGGAACCGGAGGGGGCCCCATAACGTCCGGAGGAACTTTTCCTGGAAGGTCGTTGTAATAGTCTTTGTCTGCATCTCCTCCCGTTTGAACTGACTGAGGTCCAGCCGTAGCACCAACTCTGGAAAAGAAAATAATAATTAATAGAAGAATAAAATCGGAATGATAATAAACACTTACACGTAAACATTTGTACTCGGCCGAGAAAACAGTTGAAACCTTAATTCGAATGCTTGGCAAAAAGTAGCAATTACATCTTTAGCTAATCCGCCACCACATTCCAGTACATAACAAGCTCTTAATTCATTATTGTCTTTAGCGATATAACTAACGAAATCCAGCGTTTCCTATAAAAATTGGCCATAAATTCACTGTTCCTGTAACATCAGCGATCATCAACTTACGCTGTCTCCTCCTGAGGCAAATGAAATTTTAGGCATTTCGTGATGGGCTATGACCTGGTTGTTCTCCAAAGACGTTAATGATAAATTAACACTAGATACTTTCAAGGTAACATTCGTCCCTGCGTGGGTCATATTCGGGGTTTCCGCAATGGCCTTTTGCACTTTTCGATCCACTTTCCTTTTCTTATCTACAGTCTTCAGCCCTGCAGCTTCACATACTTTATTTATACATTCTCTGAAAACAATACATGCATGTTTAGATATAGGAATTGGGCACACAAAATTAATATAATGTACTACATACTTTGCGACACTTGATCTGGTTTTGAAGTCCAGAGTCTTCATGGACACTTTAACCTCCAGGCAACCCACATACTGCAATGGAAAGAAAATATTTTTGAATGAAAGTTGAACTATGAAATAATCATACTGGTAGGTTTTAAATATAGTGGTATAATTTACATTTGTTGGATGCGTCCAAACATGGGCGCCATAATTGAATTAGCAAGCGCAAAAGTATTCGGGTAATTAAAGGGGAAACTGGATCAAGCGACTGAAAACTTCCAAGTCTTCTAATTAATTCTTCCAAACTCAACCGATCCTGCTCATAAGAATCTAATCATTTTTTCTTGGTACCAAGCTGAACTTGTTGAATCATTGTGGTCGATGATTCACTCCGCTAATCTATAACTGTCAATGGATCTTTCCAGAAAACATCCAGGGCTTTCCAAGCACCAATTTTTATTACTGCATTTTTACAAATTACTTCCAATCTGTTCAGATCTAAGTCTACTGCGTGGAAAAGATGAAATAAGCTTCATTAGGCGCATAATTCCCTGGTATAATTGCGCCTAATGAGGCATTTCCTGGCAAAATTGTAGCTTGGAAAACTGATCTCATTGCTATGATGGGAATGTTGGAAGTCACGTATGAATTTTTTTGCGCACTAAAAGTCGGGTGTGGCGGGAGACGTTAATTGCAATAAAACTAGACCAAAGGGGAAAGGCTGGGAAAAGGTCAATTTATAAAGTAAAACGAAAAACTGCTCTTACCTACCCGTACTGCATAAGTTGCCCCTTGTCTTGCGATTAACTTATCGGAATGTAGCCATCCAGTAGACGGTTTTATGTTGAATGCGGACATATTGGAATCGATAGTTCAGAACTTTCCACGGTACAAACTTGTTCATTACGATCGTTTCTATGCCGCGAATTTTCCGTCCAAAGTAATAGAAAATTGCGCTTAACCTTCGAAATAACTTCAACGATAATTTACACTCTCCATTTTGAAAATCGCCTTAAAATTTCAGATTAAACTTTGCCACATAAGAACGATTAGTCTAAAAACCAACTTTTCCTGCTACCCGCGACTGCGATATCGCAGTTATAGCGGACGAGTTCAGCTCGACCTTGGAGTGTGCGCCATAGAGTAATTTTGCTTTCTCTATGGTTACAGTACTCTAGGGATGGGAGAAAAACATCGATGTTTTGCAAACATCGATGTAATTCGTTCCATGTTCGATATTTTTGTAAACATCGATGTTAGAACTCTTTGATAGTGCCGATACCGCGGCATGGCGGCCCATTTCCAGCTGCACCCGAAAAAAAACCTTTTTTTGCAGTCAGTTGACCGAAAAATGTGGCAACTATAAGTTGAATAAACTTAGTCGATTATTTAATGTCATAGTAGTAGTAAAATAAAATTATTTAAGTTTAAGTTAATCAATTTGAAATTTGCCTTCGACGTTAAGGAAACATCGTTTGCCGATTTAAAGGTTGTTTTTGGAACCGTCTCATAAACCTGAAAAAGTGGTTCGCGCATCGTCGAGCGCTCTATCCTCGACGCCTCAAGAAAATAATATTTAGAATCTGGCCCTTTTTACATAACAAATAGGAAAAGTTGTGAATATTTGAAACTAAAATTTATACCACTTATAAAATATACAAACACCTTCAAAAAATGTTATAGTGAGATTTTTTTGAAGCAAAATCAAATTAAGACTAGAAAAAAAAATTACCTTTATCTGTTAAGTGCCAGGAAAAAATCTAATCCGACTGGACTAATTGTTCCATTGAAGGATATCCACGCCACTTCCTAGTAAATTGGGTGCGAATCGGCTGGGTGAGCGATAAATTATGACCGAAGGCCGAATGCCTTTTGTTCCTTTATGTAGCAAGGGCTGATGGTGAAAAAAAAGTCATAAAATTTTTTATGAGTAACGTTTTACCATTTTATCGAAACTTTATTTGAACACACAAAAAGGTGACCACATTTTTTATCTTTCCCACTTAAGGGCAGAAAAATCTTCTATTTTCATGCTAATCACTGATTAAAATTCATCGTATCGCTTAATTGAAAATTGGCCATTTAGTACTTCAGCTATGTTTGATATAAAGAAATATTGAAACATGTCCAGACTAGGTAAATAGCGTCTATACAAATTTAAATATAGTTCGACCACTACTCCACTGGGCAGATGCAACATATGCTATTTTATTTTAGAAGCACTGCTATTGGTCGAACAATAACAAGTTCCAAGGACAAAGAACAGCACAGAATTTCCAAAAAACAGTCAGTCAGTCACAGCCTGTGACTCACAGGCCTGATCACATTAAAGAAAATATCGGAGACGGCTGTTACTGCTGTTCCCGATATTTTCTGTTCACTGAATATTGCTAGTTGCCGGATCATTGGTGCATGGATTCGAAAATCATCAATTCCCACGTCCCACTTCCATACATACAAAACCTTGCCACTTCATGAGAATAAAATATTTCCTTTCACTAAAACTCAGGCCAATTGACAACGCCGTGGGAAATCAAAAGGCACAAAGCGAATACTATAGACTATAGTCTTATAGACTATAGTCTATAGTATTTGCACAAAGGCAGGTATTTGCCTTTTTGCTTTGTTGAAATATCTATCTCGAAAGATGTTGTACTGGTACTGACCAGCATCGTAGGCGAGCCGTTATTTCAAATAACATGTTATTTTAAATATCGATAACAGGTAACGACTGTGCATCTGTTCCAAAATACCTGTGAAGTATTTCGCCTCCGAGGTATGAGCAAAAACGGGACGGAAAACATGAAATTTTGCAATAATCTTGCGCCACCCTTGCACAAAACAACGATCATTTTTATATTTCCATAGATAACAGAAGACTGTATTTTTTCTACATAACCCCCCTTGACTTTAAAGCTGGATCCGCCACTGCACAGGTTACACTAAAGAAAATATCGGAGACGGTTGTTACTGCTGTTCCCGATATTTTCTGTTCATGATATATTGCTATTTACCGAATAATGGGTGGATTGGATGGATTCGAAAAATCAAAAGACAGGTATATATTTTCCCTTTCGCTTTGTTTAAATATCGAAATCCCAGATGTTGTACTGGTACTGAGACCAACATCGTAGGCGAGCTCTGTTATTTTAAATATCGATAACAGGTACCGACTGTTCCATATCGGTATCTGTTCCAAAATATCTGTGACAAGTATTTCGTGTCATCCCTACTAGGCAACCTGTATACCACTGTATACTTTAGGAACCTTGACCTCTGTGGAGCTCAGTTTGACAAAATAACGTCAAACACTGATTAGTTGTTAAAAATAAACTTTCTGTTAAGTGTTAAGAGTTCGGTTCATCATATCTCCCCTTCATTATCAGATTATTTATACGTAAATAAATTAATAGGATACTTACGATTTGAGGTTACGCTTAATGAATACTTGTCTTTATCTATGCTTAATGAGTCTAGCAACAGGAACTAGAGCAATGTTAGGATTTTGTGCAAATCTGTCTTTTCTGTTTAAAGAAAAACCATTTCTGGAAAGATATGCTGCGGCTGCAGACGCTGGATTTCGGGCAGTTGAAACTGGATTTCCCTTTGGGTTTTCCAAGGAGGACGTTGTGAAGGCTAAAATATCGGCTGGTATTGAACAAGTACTTATCAACTCTTTAACAGGTAAATATTTCACATGTTCATTATTCATTACGATTTCAGTATCGTTTTGTTGTAGGAGATGTAACCAAAGGAGAACTGGGATATGCTGCCGTTGAAGGTAAGAAGGATGAGTTCAGAAAATCTATCTTGACCACTATTGATTACGCTAAAGCTGTTGGAGCCAAAAAGTGAGTAACCTCGATTTGTTATAAAAAGTCCACTTCCTTTTTTTCCGCCTCCAAGCACGATGAACTTTTTGCTCTAAATCTGCGCCGTTAACAATGTGCTCACCATATATACAACCTTTATTAACGACTTTACTTAGTGGTGTTTTTCGAAAAAATGCGGCTTTAGACCCCTTTCCACTCATTGAAAGTTACTACTTAGCTACTTATTTTCTGTGATCTTATGGAAAAGCTGTTAATAAACATTTCATCTATAAGGTGGACGCATTTACGGCGCAGGCCAAGGCTTGATGTCCCTTCAATTTACCCATTTTTCACTTAAATAAATATTCTTTGCAGGATTCATATCATGTCTGGAGTCGTGCAAAATCCCACGAGTAAAAACGACCAAACTTTAGTAGAAAATCTAAAATTTGCTGCGGAACTGCTCCAACAAGAAAACATTTTAGGCGTGATTGAGCCAATAAACAATTATTCGATTCCAAACTATTATTTGAATTCCTATGAAAAGGCAATTGAAGTGATTAAAGCGGTCGACAGTGCATATTTGAAGCTGCAGTTGGATATTTTTCACTTGCAATTAATCAAAGGAGATATCACGCATACGATTGAAAAAGTGAAACCATATATTGGTCATATTCAAATCGCACAAGCTCCAGGCCGGAACGAACCTGATACACCTGGCGAAATAAATTATAATTATGTGCTCGATAAGATCCAGAAAGATGCAGGATATGCTGATTGGATTGGGCTGGAATATATTCCATTAAATGATACAGTTGAGGGGCTGAAATGGGTGAAAAATTATGGGTATAGTTTGTAAGCGTTGTTTTGTATCATTCTTCTTTACTTAAATAAAGATATTTGAATTTTATCAATAAATTTATGATTGATTCTGAATTTAAGATCGGTTTAGTTTCTGTAAAGCTTTGCGGAAAAGTTCAAGCGGGGCGTCATAGATGGCCCTAATGATATCGCGGTTAACAAATTTTGAATTTAATTTATATCACATTAAACTGTAACTGCCAGACTGATTCAGGCAATAAAAATGCGCTGAAGGAAAGTTTGAAACACGAAAAAATCACCATGGGAATCCCAGTATCACTTGGTAGCCTCTTTTATTATTTTGCATTTTTCTTGATTATTGCTCGCGTGAAATAAAAAGTGTAACACATTTGGGGATTGCGTAGTTAATCACAACAAACAAATACAGAACGAACATATGCGATAATTGCACTTTTTTGGAAATATTTGTGTTTTTATTTTAAGTATTAAATCAGGCACGTTCTTTAAGCGATACTCAACATACAGGAAGCACAATGGAGCCAGTTAATATGATTTCCAGGCCAAATAATTCTTAAATTCGTACGGGCGATTTTTTGAATGGCACAGCCGCCACTCGGATGTGTTTCTTAGTCCTAATTTGCAGCTAAGTTTTCATGCTTTAAAAAATGTTTTGGAGAAAGCCAAGTATAAAACAAATGGATTTTAATAATGTTAAGCTTGTTTCGTAGAAAAACATTAGCACTTTTCACTCTCGTTAGAGCGGAACTCGTCAGTTGTTAAAGGGTGCAATTCGTAACAATAACAGTTTTTTTAGTTTAAACGAAAATACCCAGACAGAACTAACTTGCAAAAACGGTTAAAATAAAATTAAAAATTAAAAAAAAAGCCGGGCAAAACAATTTTTACACAATACATCACAGTGAAAAGTAGTTACATTTCTGGTTCAAACAAGTTTAAAATTATATAATAAAATCGAATTAGTCATTGAGAAGGTTTCTAACGATGTTGCTAACGGCATACCTTCATTTACGGATTTTCAAAGATACTTGAGTTTTTAATGTTTATTTTATAATTGAGCCCCTTGTGGTGAAATGTGGAGGTTAAAAATAATGTTCAGAAATTCTTCAGGACCAGTTTAGCCATGAACATTTTTCTTTAAATTTCCAATCCCAGTACTTTCCGAGTAACTTAATACTTTATGTAGAAAAAACACTTCTGTTATCTATGAAATTAGAAAAATGATCGTCGTTTCGTGCAAGGGTGGCGCAAGATTATTGCAAAATTTCATGTTTTCCGTCCCGTTTTGC